TGCTTTATTGAAGACATTTGCAATGACCTTGGGTGAACTGGATTATGAAAATGATTTTATTATACAAAAATCGGAGCGGCATTACTCAGAAGCTGTCAATGTAGTCTTTGTATTGTTCTGTCTGGCAATGCCCATTATCCTCATGAACATGTTGGTATGCTATTTTCTTGTTTATAATACAGTCATCAAATTATTTTTTGCTGGATTGCGAGCAGTCTCCTATTTCTGTTTTGAGTCAAAATACATCAAGAGCACGCGTGACGGGTGAGCGGGAAGGCCGCGAGTAGCCTGGGACTAGGCTCCGTAGTGGATGAGGGGAGGAGGTGGGGCGCCAATCGGTCTTCGCTCCCCGATATTTTTTCGCCCTTTTCCCCCACTGCGCAACCTGGTGTCCTGCTGGTCCCAGGCTAAGCCGTGAGGAACAAGGGCGGAAGTACCCTTGTCTCTCCTCCTTTTTATCATCAATTTACATAATTTTACTTTTTCGCTCGCCGCCCGTTGCTCTGAGGAAAGAAAGACGACCGCTCGCGGTCTTACTTTTTGCAGCTGAAATAAACGATGACAGTTCCAAAAAACCTTTCGTTTTATTTGCATAAGTATAGGTAATCGGCCCTTTAACTCGGGCATATCGGACTTGTTCAACTTGAAGGCGGAACCACAGTTTTTAAAACGGACATTCCCTAGTGAAAGGCCTATTTATAAAATGCGTATTTATCACATTGGGAGTGCTTTATAAAGACTTTTTTGTTTGATATGTCCGTAAAATAACTTGGGGAAGTTTTCGAAGGAAAAAAGAACATATAGTCTCTAAGGGGTTACATTCCATTATGTGAAAAATTGTGAAGGCCCCAGTGGAATAGCCCACTTTCGATATATTAAAAATTCTAACATGACTCGGAGGCTTTGTGGTCTCGTTTCTATATTTGGTTTAGTTTTCTTTGTACTTAAGTCTCTTCTGGGAATTGCGAGACAATGGAGTCGTGAGAAATTTGCAATTTGGACCCTAAAGCCTCGGAGTCATGTTAGAATTTTAAAATATCGGACGTGGGCCACTGTGAACACGTTATAGCTTCTTACATTAATTGCTTTGGTTCGACATGAATCAGTCTTGGGGAAGAAATTTACCTTGAAACAAAGTATTTACGGTCTTCTGGTGGTTTAAATATTGTGGAGATAACTCAAGGAATGACGGTGGAGGAATGAACTTTTTAAGAAAATTGCAAATACAACAAACGCAAGTTTAAGTTACGTCCTGTTGAAAGGATAGATGAAAATCGAAAATGTCCCATGTTTGTAAAATCATGACAGGATGATACTATGTGTACAAGGTATTCATTTGTTGCTTACTCATTCTTTTATCTTGAAACTGGCCTATTTTTGAGGACAATGTTTGGGTGAATTTGGCGGTAGGAATCTAGTATCCATTATTTTCTTGTTGTTATCAATAGATTGGTTTGGCCGTTGGGGACATAGACAAGATTCAGCAGAAGTCAGTAATGGCTCGTTACGTCATGCAGGTATAATTATACATTTTACTGGTTTGTGACGTCATGGCGGTCATGTTGGTGGTCAATAAAAAAGGGTTTTCTCTCTGATAGAAACTTAACTCCATTTTTGATTGTATCGACCGCCAACATCGCCAACTTGTCACGTGTTTCCAAACCAAGAATATGCTAATGATCGAGTTATGATGCTGTTAACGACGACGATCATGTTGACAGTGATGACGATGACGATGGTGATTATTATGATGATGATGACGGTGTTGATGATGATGATAATGATGTTGATGATGATGATGATGATGATGATGATGATGATGATGATGATTATGATGATGATGATGATACTATGTTGATTATTCTGTTGATGATGATGATGATGATGATGATGATGATGATGATGATTATCATTATTATTATAATGACCATGTGGCGGTTAAGCAACCAAGTCAACGATCGACGGTAACAAAAACTTTGACAAAAAGTTGGGTCTAGCAAAACGCTGTTGCTATTTGGTGCATTTCTTTGACGTCCACTGCAAGACTACGGCGTAAAATTTCCTAATGCGACGTTTCAGTCGAGGAGGTTAACATACGACGACAAATTGTTGTGTTATTTTTCTTGAGCTCTTTCATCTTATTTTATTTAAGGTTGAGCTGTTGCTGGAGATTGAAGAATCGCTACCTAAGTGGATTTTGAGACGTGTCCAGGTCGATAAACACGAAGAATTCCCAAACAGAAGTTCCAAACTACAGACAAAGGTCAGAAAACTCCATTACAAAATTACGTTTTAAATTTTCGCTACCCTCGTTGCTTCAACACACCCCCATCCGCAAAAAGCGAAATGCTAATCGAAACGGACGGTAAAAAAATCAACTTAGCAAACTTCTGTACTCGGTGGTTAACAAAAGACAACGATTAATCAGGAAAGAGGAAAAAACATGAAATGTTTGTAATGGTGTGCTTTCTGATGCCGATATATATCATAAATTTGTTTGTTCTTTTGTTTGTTTTTTTTTTATTAGATCTACGAGAAATTCATTGGTTTTGGCAAGGCAGAAAGCATGGGAGACGATGATGGCGTCCCTCCAGCGTTAGCACAGATTATTGACAAAGTCTTGGAGCAGGATTCAAAGTACAGCTGAATTATTTTCTCTTTTGCATTAATGAAAATGGGCCTGGTCTCCAAAATACATTTGTTCGGCCCTTCGGGCCTCAGGTTGGTCTAAAAATAAAGCGGGGGGGGACGGGCCCCCGGGCCCCTCCCCTGAATCCACCACTGCCTAGTGTTCCCTAGCCTGCATCGATGCCGGCCCATGCATCGTCTAAACCATTGCTCTATATAGCGTCTTCACATGACTTCACGTCCACCATATTAGGTTCTAAAACAATGAATTGGCGGCCATGTTGGTGTACCAAATCGATCCTGTGGGAGTTTAACCTTATTATGTAAAAATGTTCTTTTGTTTCAATAAATTTGCGTCGATGCTGGAAACGCGACTGAAAACGCTTTATACAGGATCGCCCCACGTAATGGAATCCAAGACAGTCTTGGATTCTGGATTCCATACCGTGGATTCCGGATTCCAGGTAATGGTTTTCAGTCTTTGTCAGTGGAACTTGGATTCTGGATTCCAATCGTTCGTGGGATTCCGGATTCCTTGTACTGTATTCCGAATTCTAAAGCCCAGGATTCCAGATTCAACGTGTAAAATTTTCCAGATTTCGGATTCCACAAGCAAAACTTTTCCGGAATCCGAACATGAGGTGCTAGGTTTTCTCCAGCAGAGGAAGTATCTGTGTTATTCTAAAACGGTTCTATTGTTTGTTTCAAACACAGAATTGATGAGATGCACGAGATGCTGAAGGAGCAGTGTAAGGTAGTCAAGGCAATTGGACAACGTAAAGGCGTGGGAGACGACGGTGGCCCTGGAAACAGAAAAAGCCTCTTTAACTGGTTTCCGAAGAAACAATAGGCGTCTTATGAGAATCCATACGTTTCTGCGAGTTTTTAACCCAATTCCAAGACAGTTATATTTTCCTGTTAAGTCGTTAGTTACAGAAAAATTAGAAAGGTCGGGGGTAAAGTATATACGACGTAAAATTTGATAGACGTGCTCAATCTTGTGTTCCTGCTCACTGTGAAGGGAACAAGAGAATGAGTATTTCAAGCAATTCCAAAGTAGATCGAAATTTGTGTTCACAATCCGATGTTTGTGCTCAAATATGAACGCAACACGAGAAGTAGTGTTTCAAACACTTTCGAAACACCTAGAGGCTGATCGAAAGTTGTATTTACAATCCCATATTTGTGCTCAAATATGAAGGCAACGAGAACTAATATTTGAAACCATTTCTTAACCCTTTGAAGCGAGTTGAAATAGCAAGACAGCTTCAAAGGTGTTTCAGTATCTGATGCATGGAATACTATTCCAGTTGTTTCATTAATCGATTAACAATTCGTCAATTACAAAGATGTATAAAGACAAGAGAGAAGTCTCTCTTTCTTTATGGAGGTTAATAGAATAAAACATTGCTATGTAGAATTTGATCCCGACCACACTTGTCTAATGCGTTTTCGTTCAAAAAGACCTACATTTCGATGCGTTTAGGCCTTCCCTCCACACTACGTTGAGCGTTTTCATCGAAAACGAATCGATTTGAAAACGTTCTTGACGGTGGATCAAAGTGCATATACACGTATTAGTTTGAACGGTCGAAAGCACATAAAGCACCAAAAATGTCGCAGGCGCGTGTGTTTGAAGCATGCGCATAGAGTTCACCTTACAACACAACGTGAAATTCTACCGTTTTCGAACGTTTTCGTGTGGACAGTAGTGTGAACACGAATCGATCGATCGAAAAAACGCATTACAGTGTGGACACGGCCTTAGGCAATTTATAAATCACTTTCAAAGTGAGCGAAAGATAAGAGACGTGTCTTGTAAAATTCTGCCTGCCTGTCATTTTATGAAAAAAAGTAGAATGAATTTTATAAATGGCGCTGAAAAAGCCAAAAACTAAATAGTTAAATCATTTCTGCGTGTGTTTATCAGAAACAAAATTCGAAACAATGAAGTCAATAAATCTCTTCTTCACATACGCAGTAGAATAAACTAATATTTCCCCCTGTTTTTCTCCTCCTTTCTTCACCTTTGAAATCTGTTTCTCTTCTCTAATCTTTTATCTCTGTCGCAACTACACTTAACTTTACTTGGTTATGACGTTCTGCTTCTCTATTCAAATCAGTGTGTACAAATCTTTGCTCGGAAAATTTATATTAAGGCAAGAAAGTGTTCATCTTTCATACGACGACCTGTCGTTAAATCGAATCCACGCCACAACAGCAGGAGGTCAGTGCTATCATTATTATTTGAAATAGGCTGCTCTGCAAAATACCTAACATTGTCAACCATTTATGATAAAACAAAGCCATCGCATGTTTGAACTGCAAATGAACAACTTTAAATATCTATTCCTTAAACTTTTTTGTGACTATTAACAGACTTGCGTAACAATTGAATCGATTATTTGATTTTCAGCCATAGAATCCGTCAGCCTAAAAAGATGGTGTTTTAGAGGACGACTGGAAATAACTTGTAATTCTTCATCTTTCATGCTGTTTGTGATTCCCACTGCAAACATTTCAATTCCCCTTCTTTTCATTTGACCTACTTTCTCCTTTACCATGTCGGTACCAATGCCGCTCCACCCATCGGTGACAACTACGGTTACTTTTTTAACGTCTGAAATCATAATGTAGGAAAAATATTAGGGAGTCTAGCCCCCCCGGGGGGAGGACCCCGCATATGAAAGGGGTGGGGATGCTCGTCGGAAATTTTGAATTAAACCCCTAAAAGAGACCGATCTGGGCGTGGCCCAAGCTTTTTTTGACCCCTAAAAGAAAGCCATGTTAAAACACAGACAATATAGATATTTTTATGTTTTTTCGCGTGCAACCCTAAACGAGACCTTCCTAGCTAAATATGATAGCATTTTGCCCAGAACACCCTAAGTGAGACCAAAATCCGAAATTTATACCCCTAAGCGAGACGACGAGCATTCCCACCCCCTTCATATGCGGAGTTCCCTCCCCCACTCCCGGGGTCTAAGCAGCGACGTTTTTGAGAGAGGCACTTCAACCGGAAGTGGACTTTTTGCGCACTTGAGCTGTGATTTTGAACAAACGTTTGGTCAAATCGTCTCTATAAGAGTAAAGACACATAGCCATACAAATTTGGTAGCGTCAGAGCATATTAAAATAGAAAATAGCTCATTTCCGGTTGAGGAACGTCGCTCAAAAACGTCGCTGATTAAGCTCTAATAATGCAACGTGACCCAGTTGAGTGTGGGAGGTCAGAGGAGCGGAAGCCGGGGAGAATAGGCGGAGGGTGGAGTACGGGAGGCGGGGGAGGAAAGTCGGGTGAGAGGTAAGAGTTCTAAAAGGGTGGGAAACGGGAGAAATAGGGACGGGGTTACGCTGTTTAATATTTCGCAATCCAAAAAGGGCAAAAAAAAAAGAGATCCTCTCGCCCCGCTCGTTGAGATATTTGATACCAGTTTCACTGAACTGTAAACGCGGTTCACATGTACTGGACGGTAAACGCGATTCCGGGACGAGAATTACCAGTTCTAAATTTTGTGAACAGACCGGCCGGTTTGTACAAATCAGTTCCATTTACCGAAAAACAGCCGCGAAGGCCTGAAACTGGTATGAAAAATGGAATACGAATTTCCGTTTGGAACATTCCGTCCGCAAAAAAAAAATTCCGCTGCAATTACCCAGAATGTCGTATAATAATCCAGCTACTTTCCAACCGGATTTTCCGGGACTTTCCAACGAGATTTTCCGGAATCTGTTTGTTCACCATTGTAAACAACCGTGACCGCCGTTTTATTGTTTTGGTACACCAACATGGTGTACGTGACGTTATGTGAAAAGGCTTTACATTCTAGTTGCCTCTAGCCTCTGTTTCAAAGCGAGGCTAAGAGCGAAACCATTGATATGAAATCTCACGCAAATAAAACTCATTTACACAACAAAGCTTTTGCACTTAGCCTCGTTTTGAAAGTGAGAGTTTTTGGAACTGGAAAAAATAGTTTTCTTACCAGGCCTCCCACTTCTTGCCCCACTCTTCTCTGTAAACACCTCGAAATTTACGGCCTCCAGAGTTTTGCCAGTGCCGCTTGAAGATGCTTCGTAGAAAATGTTGTCCAAAGTATTATCCAGTGACTTCTCGTCATTATTATCATTAAACCTGGACGCTATGTTGATGTACTGAGAATAAGCGATAACAGACACTTGAACTTTGTCTTTTGAAATCGTAAACCTCTTTATCAGTCTCTTGGCAAAATCTTTTCCAAGTTTGAAGTTCTCTTCACCAATGCTGGCAGACGCATCCAAGACAATTGCCAAGTCGATCTTTTTCCCACATATTTTTTGTTTTCCTGTTGAAATGCAAAGAATTACATCAAAACACCAGCTCTTTCTTAAGTTTTCTTTCGGATTTATAGTAGAATTGTTCTCGCTGTGAGCTCGCCTCTCACGCTGACTTCGCGTTTCTTCTCCACGAGGATTGCGTGACAAGCCAAAAGAAAATCTGCGTTAAACATCTGCGTGAGAGGATAGCTCCGAGCATGAGCAGTAAGGTTGATGTCTACCGATACTTATAGATTAAATAATCAATACCACAATCTCTACCACAACCAATGTTCTCTTACCCTGAGAGTTAAAGGTCTTTTAAAGCTACTTGCAAACGGACGCAACAACTCCCAACATTGTTGCCCAACAATGTTGGGAGTTGTTCCGTCCGTTTACTCGTAGCTTAAAGTTTGAACGGTTTCAAACTTTGCGCACTGACAACTCCCAACAACATGCAAAAGGGTGTGGAAACGGACGCAACGTGTAACATCCAACAATACTGAGAGTTTTTGGCCAACAATGCGTCCGTTTACAGAGGGTTTCATATTCAGTACTCTACCAATAGGCCCCAAAATACCAAAAACAAAACTCTACCAATAGGTGGTTTTCACTTGACGTCATCGCGGCCATGTTGGTGCACAGAACAACAGAGAAAAAGTCTTTTGGGAATTTGACTCTATTATTATGCAAAATACGAGCCATGATTTGCTATTGTTTTGTGCACCAACATGGCTGTCTCATCACGTGACTGAAAACCATCTATAGGCCAATTCCGAGTTTCTCAAGCCTTTGTTTCAAAGCGAGGCTAAGTGCGAAGCTATCACAAGACAGCTTTTGCATTAGCCTCGTTTTCAAAGTGAGAGTTTTTTGAACTAGAAAATGGCCTAGTTAATTTTTTCCAGATACAAAAAAAGACCTACCTATTAAATCTATAGACATATCCGGGTTCCAAAACCTCTCACTTTTAAAACGAGGCTAAGTACAAAACCTTTCTTGCCCTCTGCTTTCTTGTGAAAATGAGTTTTATTTGCATGAGAATAAGAATCACTTTCTTCTCAATAGCTTTACATTAGATTCGCTTTGAAAGAGGGGCTTGGGACGACACTGAAATGGCCTATTTTGAGATAGAAACTTATATGCAATGGTTAGAAGAGCATTAAGAGAAAGAGAAGCAGATTATTTGTTTTTTTTTTCTTTTCATTGTAGTGAGTTTTAATCGAAATGAAAAAAATTGAGAAAAAGTATTTTAGGTATTTCAAGAATGGAGTTATATATCGATATAAAATACATCATAACACTGACGGCACTAAAAACCCACGTCCGTTTTTCTTTTTCTTTTTCGAACAACGGAATTCACTTCTCACAAGCATGTTTGGTCGTGAACTTAGCGTATTTGCCGCGGTATCTATATTTCTTTGAATTTTCTTAACTAACGGGCATTTTTGACAGAAATATAAAAAAGATTAGCATATAGGCGTTTCAAGTGATAACCAATACAAGCTCTTGCGTGCCTGGTGGCACTTTCTTGTTCAGATTAATAAAACACCGTGGCAAGTATTCTTTCGGCGACTTCTGACACTTTACTATTTACGGCACCGACAAATCAGCCGACAAATGACAGGTCTCTTATTGAGTTTGAAGCCTTTCAAGTAAAAAACTTCGCTCAACGTTTTCTTTCGTCGTTTTGGAAGGGATTAACCAACACGGGGACCGGGAACAATTTTCAACGTCCATGTTTAATTCTAGAAGAAAAATCGGAAACGGCCAATTATTCCAACAATAAAATCTTTAAGCTTAGGGTGCACTATAAGTGCTCTCACGCACGTTAGTGCCAAGTTTGCGTTGAAGTTAATTCTAACTGGTTTCTAACCGATCAGATATTAGTGTTAAACATCAAGAATCGTTAAAAGCTCATATGTCACATTTTTACCAAGGAGGACCCTAAACCGACATGGCTTCAAGAAACCTAGACAAAATCTTACTTTTTTCTACCGACTTTGTTGATTTCATCATTGCAGCGTCTCAGATTTTAGTAGCAAAAGGATTTGCTAAGAAGTATTTTACTGGACGTGTTATTAAAGCCTGAATTCAAGCACCTTTCTTAAATCTCCTTTTTTGATTAGGGAGGTTCTCTCGTTACAGGTGTCGCCCCTCCTCACACATTCCCGCGGCCTTACAGGTTTCTTAATCAACTGGTCATAACATGAAATGGCTCCATTTCGAAATTTTGACAAGGAGACGCTGCTGATTAGGGATTAAGAACCTCCCATAATTAAAAATGTCAGCAGTGAAAAACTTGATCTTTTTTAGTTGGCATGCTTTTTCTTTTATATGCAATTTTTCCTGCCATTTGTCATCTTTAACGGTTTATTACTTCTGACGATGTTCTTGGAACAAACAAAAACGTCAAGTTAAAGTCTTTTTCCTTTCCAGGAATGCGTTTATATTTCCTCATGTTTATCACCCCAGTTTGGTTTTTGTTACTTCCAAAGTGAGAGAGGTTTTTCAAGCTCTCATAGGAGAAGGTATCCGGCTCAATGGACCACAAAAATGTGCGAATAAAAAAGGTCTTTTTATACAAGTTCTCATTGTCTTACCTTCAGCTCCAAAATTAACAGCCACCACTAATAACGGCAACACCCACCAACAATTCATCTTCACTTGGATCACTTCAGTCCGTATCTTCATCAAATCCAGAGATAGCTGATAAGGTGATACTCAGTAAAGAAATATCAAAAGGTGTCGAATGTTTTCAAAAAACACAGACGTTTAGGGTTTATGACCGTTCTTCAGTGTGAGAAAAAAAGCAGAGATTTGCTATCGTCAGTTCTTTACTGATCGTGACTGAGCTGTACAGTCTCATGCAGTCAACAATTGTACTTCCTGCTTGCCTACGGCGAATATTCTATTCAGTAAGCTGGTATTACCTCTGTCTAAAAAACTGTGGGCGATCACAAAACATTTTCAATCGTGAATTATTAATTGAGCCCACAAGTACTGATTAATTGACAAATGTATCGTGATCGATACCAAACTTTTTGTGAACGTTTTAGACAGCCTCTGTCGAAGGCGAGAACCACTTCACTCGCCGCTCAATGAAGTACCATCCTGGCAAAGCCCAATAAATATAACGCCTGTGTGAAAGGCTAAACCTGCAGCATTTCCACCGCATGTCCAAAACAGTCATTTCAACTGCGTTCATATGACAATGAGATTTGGAACCGTCTTGCGTTTCAGTGATCCAGCCCGAGTTCTATGCCTTTCGTTTAATAAGCTGTGAGGGCTACGCCGCTTTGGTCTATTGACGGTTGTCAGAGGTAGGGTAGGTTCTCAGTGAGACGCCTCAAGGGCAAAGAAGAAACTATTTATTTCAATTAAGGTCAACCTCCCTGAAAAACGTGGTTGGTAGGTAGAATTATAAGATTGAATAAAGAAGTCCCCTAAACACTGCAAACCCCATCAAGAAAAAATCAAACCTCAGTGGCAGAAAGAAAGAATCTCAGTTTTATTGAAAGGATAAGACTGTGTGACACGAAGAAGCGGCGATAGCGGGGATTGGAGATAACTGAGAGCTAAAGCTCGTTATAAAATAGTCCATTTGTACGATGGCGTTATTTTTTTCTACTACAACCGGAATCTTTTTCGTTTTTCCTTTAACATTTGAATTTGGTAATTCCAGCGAGGTTTAAATAATAAAAGGCCTCATTTGCACAAGAAAGAAAAACCCTGAAGGATTGTGGTCGTATTAAAAAAAAAGTCACCGCGCAAATCAATAAAATTGCTATGATTTACCTTTCTATCTGTATCTTTCTTTCGTCGTTTTGGAAGTGATTAACCAACACGGGGAGCGGTAACCGAAACAGGGTACGGAGAACGGGGAACGCGAAAATGAAAAATGGGGACAAAACAGAGAATTGGAAATAAAGTTACTGCAAGAGAGAATGATCCTCTCTTGGTTACTGATAGAGCTAGGGTTTTAATAAAATTTTGTTCCCATTTTTCATTCTCCCGTTCAACGTGCGCTCTCCGTTCCTTGCTCCCTGTTCCTCATTATAGCAACTGTCGTTTTGGAAGGAATTTTTATCAAAACAAAGACGGTTTTCTATGTTCAATCACCAGCGTGAGGGCGCGTCGAATTTTGATTTTTGTCTCGACCTGAGAGAGTTAGGAGAGAGTTTCCGACGATTGAACAGTGCCCTGATCGAAAGGTTTTATCGTTGTAAATTTTAAATTGGAAGCAGTTTAACAGTCCTAGAAGCTCTAAACATTATAACTCGAAAATGTTTCCCAGCATTAGAACTGTATTGCTAAGGTTATGAAACCATCTACATTTAAAACTTGAGTAACAACATGAACACTGAACTAAATAGCTTTCCGGACTTGATAAGTTAATATCGGGCATTGAAACAAAACTGAATGCAAGGCTGACATTACGGCAAAGGGCTGATTTATTGGAGGCTAATATATCGGCTAACATAATTAGCCTTCCTCAGGGCCAGAGCTACACTGAAGGGGAATAGTCGACCCATGTAAGGAAATTCCGGATTCCAGCTACTGGATTCCGGATACCAATCGGTAATGGGATTGCGGATTCTAAAGCCCAGGATTCTGCATTCCACGGAAAAAATTTGCCGGATTCCAGGTTCAATAAACAAAAATTTCGCAAAAATTTTACAAAAAAGTGCAAGCCTACACTCAATTCCCGGGAAGAATGTAGTGAATTCGCAGACCTTCTATTTTACTATTATATTTTAGAGACCATTCTTAAACGCTTTTAGAGTTCCTCTGTCTATTGCTTTGTATTCCATTCACAGTCTATTTCTATAGCTTTCATACATGCGTCACATCTTTTACACATTTCACCCTACACTTTCTTTGCATACAGCTATTTCGAGAAAGGTTGTGGGAAAAAGTGCACGCGACAATACCGAAAGGTATTGTGGGTGGTTTTGAGTTCGATGTTCTTCAAAGAAATTTGATAGAATGGAACAAGAGGCCGTGGACGTGTGTTTGCGGGAGCTAAAGGAAAGCAACAAAAGAAGTGTTGACAGCTACATTGTCTGGAACAGTGTATTGATCATATCCCATATTACCTTTTGAGATCGTCGCGTGCACATTTTTGCCGGGACAACCTTTCTCGAAACAGCTGTATATATAGCGCGCGCGGAATATTCTCTTATCCCTGATGATGCCGTTGATCGGCGAAAGCTTGGATTTTAGATTTTACCCAGTTTTAAACAGCAGTTTAAGGCCTCACTAGAACAGTTTTATATATTTGAATGCCGGTTTCGCGGCCGATTTCAGAATCCGGATTCCCTTGCATGGAGCAAATATCTGCTGATTCGTTATTTACACAGCTGGTTTGTGATTGACTCAATAATTTTGTTTACATCTTGGGAATCATTTATCCTAAATAAATGATTTTTAACTGGTGCGCTAGATAAAGCTAACAATTCCTCTTCGTTTATCCGGCGTGTTATTCCAATGACAAAAACCTCAATTCCTTGATCTCTCATCATTCTCACTTTGTCCTTCAAAAATTCAACTCCTGTGGTGCTAAATCCGTCCGTAACGATAACAACCACCTTCCTGACATCTGTTCAAGGAAATAACATCATAAAGAAGAGTGTTTTAATTTTTATGTTTCTTTAATGTCAATTTTTTAATTCTAGCCACTACAACCAGTTGCAAAAGTACTTGAGACTCTGTACCGTATTTTGGCTTAAATGGCCTGTCCATGATCGTGTGCTCGAGACCCCCCCCACCCCTTTTCAAAGTTGCTAGCAATACAAGACCATGCTCAAAATTTCGAGGAACAACTTTGAATGGGGGGGAGGAGGGGGGGTCACTATTTTATCTCACAGACCTAGGCCTGTGACTAGCAGAGATTTGAAGCAAGACAGGTTGTTTTTTCGTGAGAGTGTGTCAACATTTTTGCAACTGGTTGTAGCTGGCTTCGGTAATAATAATATAAGAGGACTAGGAGCGAAAGCCGGATTCAAACGACAGAAATACGAAAAGTAAGGAAATTCTTAAATTGATACATCAAACACGCGAGAGAGTGTTTCATCTGATATCCAAACACCCAGAGTTAATGTATCAAACACAGGATGGAATGTTTCACCTGATATCCAGACGTTAAGAAGTAATATATCAAACACGAGATAAGGTGTTTCGTCTGATATTCAAACACTTGGAAGTAATATATCAGGCACGAGAAGGAGTGGTTCATTACTACATACTCAATATAGCACCAGGTACTATGAATACATGACTATACCACTATATACCATCCATTGCTTAACTACAGTAGTTTTTATAACCAACCTACTTACCACGGTGTCCGATTCTCGCTCCTCCTTTAACCCCAAACAAATCATTGGTGACCATTTTTAAAGCTCTTCCCGTGCTAGTGGAAGATGACTCGTAGAAATGCCTGTCCAACGCCCTCTCCAATTGCGTCTCGTTATAGTAATCATCAAATTTGGGAGCAACGTCAATGTGTTGAGAGTAGGACACGAGCGATATTAAAACCTCGTCTTTGGAAATTTCAAATTGCCTCAACAGTGTTCTGGTTAAGTCCTTGGCAAGTTTGAAATTCTCTTCACCGATGCTCGCAGAAGCGTCCAGAACGATAGCCAAGTCAATCTTCTTGGCGCATTTGTGTCGTGTTGCTGTGAAAAGTTACATTTATGTTATGAGTAAGGAGACCAAAACGTCATCAAAGTCTGTAGGAGTCTTGTAGGTTTTGCTGTCTGATTTGTTTTGTAGGTTTTTGTGGGACTTAAAAGATATTCCAAATTCGCGCCAAAATTGTTCTAAAAATAGAATGGTTTGTAAAACGCTGTGACACGAGTATCGATAACTAGTAATTATCATGGTTAAAAAGCCTTGAAAAAGTGCACTAAAAAAACTCTTTCAAAACGCCACCTAATTTCATTTAATAGGTTGTTAATCAAATGATACACATCTTAGTGCGTTTATGTGTGTTAACTCCTTTTTCTACTCCGCTGGAGATGTTAGTTCCCAAGGCCTTCTTCGCAAGCTGTACATGACTGTCTTTGCTCGCTGCACTTGGGTAAACTGCCTGGGTGAACGGCATGGCTGTGCCGGACTGCGCATGCGGTAGGTTCTTACTATGGGAATTCAAGGGTTTCTCGGATGGCGAATAGCCTCTCTTTTTCTTTAGGTTTGCAGTGAGGAGAGACTGCTCGTAGTCTACCGGTTTCTGTGTGGTGAGTGCTAGTCGATGCATATTGATTCTTTCTGGTGTCAAGGAAAACTTTGCTAGAGTTTTTAAGGCTTTGGCTTAAGTTGGTTATCTTACCTTCAGCCACCGCCAAAAACAAAAAGGACCAGTAAAATTCCATTTTCATTGATATCGTCCCCACGGATTGCTATCGTTTGTGACCTGCCGATGTTGATTGAAGAAACCATCTGTTTTATGATTTTTCCAAGAAGGAATGAATAAAGAGCCTTACGTTTTGGTGCTTTAAGGGAGACGATAAGAAACTTAATATCAGTGGTTTAAGCTACAATCTTGGACAAAACGTGTTAAGAATTTTGCACTTTCTTATTTACAGGAAGCCTATCCCGCGGATTTAGTATCGCTGTGACCCCTTTCCCACCCCACCCTGGTTAATGTTATTCATCCGGAGGCAGAAATGATTCAGCCGGAGTTCAACATTTTTAAATTGTCTTCTTGGGGGAAGTGGGGGGGGGGGGGGGGGTTTTTTTGGTTGGTGCCATGGTTTTACCTAATTGATCCAAAATAACTAAAAAATTCAAATTTCATTTTCTTGATATTTAGGTTTTTTCCAAAATTGTGAGTCCAAAAACTCCAAAGTGAAATCCGTATTTATAATTTAAGGGAGACGATAAGAAACTTAAGATCAGTGGTTTAAGCTACAATCTTAGACAAAACGTGTTAAAAATTTTGCACTTTTTTATTTACAGGAAGCCCATCCCGGGGGTTTTGTATCCCTGGGACCCCTTTCCCCCCCCCCCCGGGTTAATGTTTTTCCTCCGGGGGCAGAAAAGATTCAGGCGGAGTTCAAAATTTTTAAATTTTCTTCTTGGGGGAAGGGGGGGGGGGGGGGAGGGTATTTTTGATTGATGCCAGTGTTTTAACGAAATGATCCGAAATTAACTAGACATGCAACATTCATTTTCTTGACATTTCAGTTTTGTCCAAAATTGTAGGACCAAAACACTCAAAGGGAAATCCGGATTTAGACGCGAAATCCAAAAATGGATTTCACCTCGATCCGCGGAGAAATCCGTCCTCGGGATGGATTTCAATTACGAAATCCAAATCCGGATTTCACGGATTTCGCTTTTAGCGTTCGATTGGGTAATCCGAAAAAGGATTCGAAAACTATCCTCATGAACAGCGGTCTTCTTTTTGCCGAATTATGCGTGAGCGTGAAGACCGCTGTTCTTAAGGACAGTTTTTCAAATCCTTTTTCGTATTTACCGATCGAACGGTAAAAAGGAAATCCAAAAACAGATATTTCAGCCTTGAAATCCGTTTTCGGATTTCGCGTTCAATTTCAAATCCGAAATCAGGATTTTAAAATCTTAGTCCAGATTTCCCAATCGATTCAACGACGCGAAGGCAACGGGAACGGAAAAAAAACAATAGGTTTAATGAGCAAAACAGTAACTTTGCACGTGCAGCACACTTTTTTGTAATTTCCTGGCCGATATTTGCACGACCTCAAAAATTGCCTAATTTCACGTTTTACCGAGAACGTAAACAAGCAACGACGAAATTTTATCTCTCTTTCTGAACTTGGATATCGCCCCTTGGAATTCAACTTCAGGAGGGTTCGCCAACATTTTACAAAGTAAGTGGGTAGGAATAATCGCTATAAAGACTGAAAGAACGCATTCTCGTTTCCGTCGCGGTTGTTGAATCGTAAGGTCCCTCCGATATTACAGATGACTTCCCTCATTCTGGAGAACTCAAAGAAGTTTTATCAGTGCTATCGGGGAAAATTATCAGTTTCTTCTTCCTTAAGTTAAGGATTTAAAGATTGCGTTGGTATACAAATTTACCATTTTAGTAGCACTGTAAAGGAATAGATAGGAATTGTCGTTAATCGGGCGTCAGCCATGAAATGTTCAGCGAAATACTGTGCTGACATCATTTCCTCGCGTCATGTAAAGAAAAGCGAGAATATTTAAATGGCATATTGTAACAAATTAAACACACCCTTGCTCATTTGAAGCTTAGACTGCGAGCAGTCACTTATTTTTCTTTGCAAAGTTACTTCACGAGTAACCTATGGAACTCCACGAGTAACTCATGTCGCGATCAACGAGGGCGTAAACTGGGATAAGAGCTAGACGGATTTAGCCGGATTTTAAGAGAAAAGGTGGACTGCAAGCAGTCTTCAAGTTATTAAAGTTAAGTTAAATGTCGATGTCTCATAGGGAAAACTCAAGGTTATCACTACAATTGAAGCTCCTTTAACTTTAACATTAACATGAACACAAAGCCATTAACTCGACACCAGCCGCACTACGTTAACACAATAACCACAAAGCTCTGGCTACCACAATGGCCTTTTTTGGAACATTTACTGGTATTGTTACTTGAAACTTCCAGTTAATGGCCACTCTTGCTGACAACTAACCGCCACCATTTCATTGTGCTAAATCCTAGTATATTTTTCAATGATAACCTTCACTCTGGCCAACCCTGTTTTTGGAAAAATACAATTTCTCTTTTTTCAAGGTCCGTTAACAACATAGCTAACATTTGATGACCATAAATCTTCATAATAAGACAGTAAATTTAATCTAATTTAATTCTTTGATTAAGGGACGATATCATACGAGCCCCCTTCCTTTTACACTGTGACCACCAAATGTACTGATCATGGCCACTGTCAATAGATTGACCAGGTGATCAAGTGTAACTATTTAAAAAATTAACAGACTGCTTGCAGTCCTCCTTTCCTCTTAAAATCCGTCTAGTTCTTATCTCAGCCAGCGCGATGCAAAACCACGACGTTATGTTACAACAAGGGATTGGGATGACCTTATCATGATGTTACGCCCTCATTTATCGCGGCTCGCTGCTTTCGTGCTTGGGTTTATTTCGAGTACAGTAACTTTGTAAAGAGAAATAAGAGACTGCTCGCAGTCAAAATACAAAATCAAAGCCGATGCAACCTTTTTCTAGGGAACCCTGATATGGTTATCGGGGATAAATAGAACAAGAAGCCTCTCGTGAAACGTAGCCCTTGACATGCCGCACCGCCCTCCTCCCGACAAAGGACGTAAGCTTTTGTCACGCGTCGGTCATTGCAAAATTGTCTCAAAATCAAGAACGTACTTCGCACATGACGTTGTAGGACTCTAAAAAGCAGCTCCTGAGAGAAGGCAAAACTTAACTGGACGGGAGCTAAATTTTATTACAGACTTTGTACGTGTGCTTCATTAACTGCTTAGTTTTCAGCTCTGACCCGGGTAGCTCGAATAATGGTTCTCACCAAAGGGTTCACTAAATGGAGACCATAGACTGAATAAATTTCTCAGGGTTGTAAAATTGCTTCCCTAAATTTTTCAGCGATCCAAACGTCTCTTGTACATTTTAACTTTGCCTACACTTTTGTTCATTTATTTTTCCTTTTTTCTTTTTGAAGACGAGATCATGTGTTCCTTTGTTCTCGCCAAATGTAAGCGAAATTTTCTCCTCAAAGAAAATCTTTACTCTGATGAGAGGCAATTGTTTTAACCAAAAATACTGGGGTCCATAAAAAAAGTCGTGAGCAAACATTAGAAGTATCTTGACCCTGACAAGTAAATCACTTCAACGTACTTACCAAATGATTTGATGTGACCAACCAGTAATTCGGTGAAGCTGTGATCGCTTTAGTTATTACGAATTCGAAACTATGGAGCACCTGTGCTCTTAGACGATGAGGTAAATAAATTATTGTATTGTATTGTATTGTATTGTTGTAGACTGTGGGCGGACATCAAAGACCACGGGGCGCAGTAGCTTTTTAGTCGCGGAACTTGTAAGCTGTCTTGTTTCACACTTTTCTCTTTTAGGCGGGTGGGGGCTGGGGAGAAAGAAAAAGAGAGCGCGGGGCGCCTTTTCCCCCTTTCCATCGTCCCCCGCGCGCTTGCTATCTTGCGATTATTGCTATTTATTGGGAAACCCCACGGGGAGCCTTGATCATGATAGGAGGAGATTGCCATCTTCCCAGCATGCCTTGCGCCTATTTCGAGTTGTTTCCGGTCCGTATGATGAAAACATAAAATTTTACTTCAAGTTTCGGAGAAATTTTCGCCGCTTTAAGGATGAGATATAGAGTGAAAGTGGGTCTTTCCGTGATTTCTCATATAACGTGCAAGCATTTGCATGCAGTACCAAGAACGAGAAGTCCAAAGGCTACTGCAAAGCTGATTTAAAACAACGTATACTGTTTTTTATAACAATATTTCGGCTTTGTCAGGTTTACAGATGTTACTCATGCATGCAGTGGCCGATACCAGCACAGGCAGAGCAAGCAGCCCAAGCTCATTATGGGAGTTTCAAATCATTTAAAATACTAGTCGTTCCATGTAAGGGAATTCGGATTCTTGTTCAATCTGAAGTCCAAGAAATCTTGCTTATGGAATGAGGAATCGTCGGCTTTGGAGTCCGGAATAAAGCTCAAGGAATCTGGAATTCCTCGAAGAATTGTACTCTTCCAGAGAGAAAAAATAACAAATCCAGCCCTGGAATCAGGAATCCTTGGAGTGGTATCCAGAATCTTGGGGCGCGATCCATTCAACCAAAATTCAGACCGGTCCGACCGGGAAAAGAGGACCACCTCAAAAGGTGGACCAGTTTTTTCGAATCTTTTCCGGTTGGACCGAACCGATCCATTGAGTTTTGGACCGAAATTTCCGGAAATTTTGGTTGAATGGATCGCGCCCTTGGATTCCTTTCAGGGGCCGGCTAGCCTGCAGAGTAAGCGTTTTTTTTTAGCGAAAACACGACCCAGACCCGCCATAATGAAATTAAGCAATTGAAAAATCACCAGGTTACATACGTGTGGCCTCGTATTGCGTAATTCTCAAATGGTAGCGGAAGTTTTCGGTACAATATGAAAAGTAAATCAAAACAACTCGGTTCATCACCAAAAAGAGAAATTGTGCTATAGCCTAAAAATAAAACTTTCGTGACTAAGCGCCCGAAACTGTCACCTTGTTTGTTTAGCTGCAACCAACCAGTTAATCCAGTCATCAGGCTTGCAAGTGCAGACATGGGACTCACTAGGGTGGTGTTAACAAGTAACTTACGTTGAGCTCTTTATTTTTTTTGCGGGACATTAGACAGCTTTGTGTACTTCACTTTGAAGAAATATACATATTTAATTTAATGAAACGAATAACACTCTGAGCGGGTTTGCCTTCTCATAGCAAGAAATTCACCGGTCGTAGCTGCTTTCCTCCACCCTACCCTGGAAAGTATGTAAATCAGTTCTTATCAATTTTGCATGGCAAAAAGCACGCGCGAAAAGTTGTCCGTTTCACAGTTGTCTTCGCTGCGGTGGAGAGAGAAGGAGTTCGTTTGTTGGCTTCTGAACACTGTTTTAGCCTAAACTACAGCGATTTTACCTTCCTAAATGAGCGAATTTTTCGATGGTAATTGCGAGGACGACCTGGATGGCAGTAGTGGCTTCAGGGGAATTCTGGTGCTGCGAGAAATCTTTCAAGTAATTTTTGACGAAGGAAGCTAACTCAGGAAAACAAGACTGAAATTGATCGTTCTTCGCGCTATATTTTTAGCTAGCGGGGAAGGAATTGGGATAAAAACTGGGACTGTGTAAAACTCGGTTTAAGAGCTCAAGTACTGAACACAGATGAAGAACCAAGTTGCTAGTCAGATTGGGATGGAAGACGAAACGGAAAGCTGCTTCGCTTCACCGGGATCCATCTTCTCCATTGTCGACAACATTCACTGGGCGATCGCCAGCGCTAGACACAACAAAGCTTATGTTCTTCGATTTGTACCTGTAGTTCAACGGATCACCAAAGTTCTGAACGGTGCAGATGTTAAGTTTATCCGCCAAGCGGAATTCTACAGCGACCTGAGGGAAACTCTGTTCAAGATTGAAAGCCACGTGAAAGAAAACTCCACGCGAGGGAAATGGATGAGCAAGTTGTTGGCGAAGAAGAACCAGAAAAGTGTCGAAGAATTTGAAGAGCATGTTGAACATCTAATTACTCGAATCGTCTTCTCCTTTGCGCAACGAGTTCAACTACTGAATATGGCTCGCCAAAAACGACAAAGAAGAAGGGTCTTATCAGAAATTCAGGAGGAAGACGAATCAAGCGAAACACGTAGCAACGGGACTGCTTGTTCTAGCTCATCCTTCGAGGAAGAGCCATCCAGTGAAGAAGCATGTCAAGAGGAACTTACAGGAGAACGTTAAATTTCAAGGTCAATGCGCTGATAATCTAAAGGCATGAATCAAATGACATAAGAAGTGTTTAAGAGATGGGCGTCGCGGTTTCTCGGAATCATTAAACATTTCTGACTTTGCGGTAAAAATCCTTGGTGATTGAGCTTTCTAAACGAATAGCTGAATAGATTACCATATTATTTATTATATAAACCAAAGGACGCTTTTTCGAAGTCACGTATTCGGGTGAAATCTAAATTAACTTGGAAGGGAAAATAGTTGTTGTACTTCATACCCGTGCTAAACAGAAATGTGTGTCTATTATATAGTGCGTGGTTATCATTTTCTTTAGGGTAAACAAGTAGGCTCTTGAAATGTAAATTAGCCTCTCTAAAATGATGAATCACTTATCTTTATTTTGAATATTTTTGTGGGGGCTCACAGCTGTATAAAAAATTGTGAGGATATAAAAAAGTTATTTTGAAGCAGTTATATTTAAACATATTTAATCATGGGAAAATGATACACAATAAAGTTGAATTCACTTGCTTGGCATTCAGGTATTCAGCCAAATCCTTAACATAATCCGCTATTTGGATGATAAATACTGATGATAAGCCATACATACATACATTTCTTTATAGCGACTTGCAATGTTTGCCCCCTGGCGATCCCACAATCCTTTGCTCAAAACAGACGTCTCCGATTACTGGAAAATCATTCATTATTATCGCTATTTCATCCATCGGGTATGTTTTTTCATAATGTTTGGCCATGCTAACAATGGGAGGAACCAAATAATTTGCCTGACTTTACAGTGAAATACTGTTAAAATCTTCCTCAAGGAAACCGTTCACAAAAGCAATGGACTCACACTACAATGAAAAAAGCTTTGGGCTGTATGCAGGTGTCTCTCTAAAAACAAAATGGGAGACATCAGGAGCAGAGATGTCTGTTCACAGGCTGTCAACCAACGGAACAAAAGTTTTGCTCAATTTACCACCCTAAAATAATTGATAACCTGATGTTTCAGAATGCTGGACTTTTTCCACACTAACGGTTTGTATGTGGCATATCACATGCTAAACACGCCAACATTATACCTTAGGGAAACAACGGAAAAGAAACACTCTCACATGACATCACAAGCTTGTCATACCAAATGGCTGAGCAGTTCAAAATTATGTTTTGCTTTCCATTGTGGGTGGGGATGGGGGATAAACCTTGCATCACATTGTACAAAAAGAAGTATGGATATTGTCTAAAAATTTCTTCTTTATTAACAATTATATTTACATAAATTTCTTTTTTATACAAAACTTAAGGGTAAACCGATGCTGCCTTGAAAACAGACAGATGCTTTGTAGATATTCCAAATGCAGTGTCAAGGCCTGAAAACTTTGAATGTTGAAAGATACTTGTTCATGCCAAAGTTATGCTGTAATTGTCCCATTTTCTCTATTTTGCGAACAGATAAAGTTGTTTTGACTGAGTGTCATCTCTCTGGTAGTTCATCTAGCAGTGTGCTACCGAGGAGTCCTCTTCTGAATCTTGAGATGAAATGAACATGGGCTTTTAGATAATCTGGCGTTCTACCTAAAAGGAACAATATAAATTATATATAGGATGCGTGTTTTACTTTTCCCAAAATGTGACATTCCAGTTGCCACTTTACTTTTATTTAACATGTTTTAAGTTTCCAACACATACTTCCATGGAAAGGATGGTTGTAAAATAACATATTACCAAGGCCCTTCTAGCGAGGAGAGTACATATGTCCGTAGTCTGAATTTTAAATATGGTTTTTCGCATTTTGAGGAGTAGGCCATGTCCCTGTTGGTATTTAAACCATCTATTTTATTTGTCATCATTTCATGTAGTCTCATGTCACTGTTTCAAGGCCACGTCACTTGTGGAAATTCTACCCTAACAGAGCCCAATTACCTGATCTTGGTCCCTGGAGCTTCACAGCAAGCTGCCTCATGACAAAATCGATACTATCACTGGGGTCTGTGAGACCAATCATATCAACATATCTAAAATAAAAACATTATGGTTACTTGGCTAATAACTATAGCAATGCTATATAACATTATTACCATTATATTAAGATATTAATACCACTAGAAAGTCAGCTAAAGTGATAAGAAGACTGTCTGTAACAAAAGATGGTTCAAACTGATTGAAACTCTTTCTAATGGCCCTTATTTTGATTTGGCAGCAATCATAGTACAAATTTAGATGCTGGTTTGTACAATGTTCACTAAAAAAAAATTAATGACATGAATACACATGGAATTCCAACTGTCATGCCACCATTGTAGTACAAAGTATCCAAAGGATCCATAGATCTAATGTCAACTAGTTGAAGTTGAAAATGGATAGAAATAAATAGTTTAAATAGTTCTCATTTATAACTCACTTGAAACACTTCTGTTTATTCAAAGTGAATAACAGATAGTCAGCAATGAGATCTTCACCCACGACATGGTCTTTAAAACATCCTGCAAANAGCTGCCTCATGACAAAATCGATACTATCACTGGGGTCTGTGAGACCAATCATATCAACATATCTAAAATAAAAACATTATGGTTACTTGGCTAATAACTATAGCAATGCTATATAACATTATTACCATTATATTAAGATATTAATACCACTAGAAAGTCAGCTAAAGTGATAAGAAGACTGTCTGTAACAAAAGATGGTTCAAACTGATTGAAACTCTTTCTAATGGCCCTTATTTTGATTTGGCAGCAATCATAGTACAAATTTAGATGCTGGTTTGTACAATGTTCACTAAAAAAAAATTAATGACATGAATACACATGGAATTCCAACTGTCATGCCACCATTGTAGTACAAAGTATCCAAAGGATCCATAGATCTAATGTCAACTAGTTGAAGTTGAAAATGGATAGAAATAAATAGTTTAAATAGTTCTCATTTATAACTCACTTGAAACACTTCTGTTTATTCAAAGTGAATAACAGATAGTCAGCAATGAGATCTTCACCCACGACATGGTCTTTAAAACATCCTGCAAAAGAAATACAAGTAATGTGACACTTTAAAATCAATGTCTTAAGTTTTTTTTTATTGAGTCAACTACTTATGTAAGTTCATTCCACAATAACAAAACAACCTGTTTAATTTTCCACATGATCTAATTGCAGCCAAGAAAGCATGCACCTTGTAAAAGGCTTTATGGTTGACAGAACACTTTAGTTCAGCTTAGAAACAATGTAGAAACGTGTCTTGCTAATTTTTCACAGACACTTTAACAGTAATAAAAACAGTACCGGTTAAAGCCAATTTCATTCCCACTTCTGCTGTTGGTATGTACGGAGCCATGATACCTTAAGGAGATGAAAAAAGCCATACATACATGTTAATATAGCAATCAAAAACTGTGTAACTGTAGCAGGTCCCAGCTTGGTTTTTTCAGTACATTCTACAAGTGTTTGCAGTTTATTGCTGCTTTGCACATTATGTCATGGCAGCCAAACAAAAGCGTTTCTTTCCTCTGGGAACTAAACTTCATTTTCATGTAAATTATATAATAAACGTTTATTGCATTGGCCACCAACACGGCCGCCTTTAATTGCGACATGGTTGTAAACCAAGAAATTTCTACCTGGCGTATCATACATGTATGCCATTGGCTCATCACAAACCTGCAATATATAACACATAAATTAAATATGAATTAAGCTTGAACATTCGAAGACCATTTTATAAACTGTTCATGTGTGGATTAATGTAACATCAGTAAAGAGTTACCTTGATTCTATTTTCAATAGATGTGGTTATCCCAGGAACTGCTCCAACTCTGGTAGCTTTGCCTGAAATACATAAACTATAACATGACCAATGATTACAGAAATTACATCAACAAATTATTACAAATCAAAGAACCAGAGTTTCAAGAATTGACATTACAGTTGAGAAAGAGAATAAAAACCCCATAATCATGGCAGGACAACCTTAACGGGTACAGCACTAGACTGCAATTTGGGAGGTCGACAATTTGATCCCTGGAATAGTCTGTGTCTTATATAACTGAGAGATGAAGGTATTGTCTTTGCTCTGCAAATGGCTAGACCTTCTTGTGGCTTGGATGACAGCATAATATGGCAGTCCCTTCTCCAGTAAAAACATTGCCCATACCTTTCTTCATGTATTTTCTTCTCAGTGCATTGACTAATGAAGACTTTCCAGTATTTGGTAAACCACAGATTAGAATGTTGTAAGGCTTGTCTGGTTCCTTGAAAGAAAATTGTTTAGGTTTAATAAATTAATATCAAATAGTAAATGATGTACGCGGATAAATAAACTTGACAAATTGGCCAACTTCCAGTGCATTGGTCTTCGAAGCTCAGCGGGTAGAGCACTACTGTGCATCCTGTTGAAGCACTGATATTTTCTCCAGTTTAATTTGCAATTAAACTGTTTAAATTGCAATTACTGCTGCGATGATTATATTTTCATTTAAGTTTGTAATCTTGCAGTTCACATCATCTTCATTCAATAATATGATAAATTAGAATCTTTTGTGCTTGTGCTTCCAGTGCATTTGCATAGCACATGTGACCCATCCCTAACAATGCTCTATATTCTTCATCAAACAAGATCATAAAGACCTTTGGTGATATAACGATTTAAAAAGTTTAGAGTAGATTATGGAATCACACTTACTGGTCTGATATATGTTCCCTCATATTCTGCATCCTTTATAGCCTCTAGGGCCGTGGGAATTATCTGTTGAGACAATAGAATTCTTTGCTTACTTTTTCAATGATACACACTCTATTTCTTAGAATAAGTCCCCCTTCCCCCCCCCCTCCTCCCTTTTAGCACCTCTCCTCCCAGGCGTGGATCTAGGATAAATACTGACCGATTTCCTAAACAAGCACCAAAGGTGCAAGCTCCTAGCGGGGTCTGGGGGCGGGCTCCCTCACTAGTAACATTACCGCACAAAACAGTTCTTGGTATACAATGATTTCACCTGAAAAAGCAACGATTTGATGGGATGTGCGTGATGAAATCTGCGCCCTTAGATATTCATACAGGGAGTTCCCCATTGTGATAGGTGAAGAAGTAGAGTTGCCTAGACATGCTTTACCTTTCTGATACTATGATGATACTGTGCTTTACTGTCAGTAAACATTGCTCTGATACCGTCATCTTCCAGACATGTAAGGATATCCTTCAATTCAGATAAAAACATGTGTATAATAAAAGTCATGGTCATATTATTATTATCATCAAACAAGTCCCAGCCAATTAGCAGAGCAGGGAATTAGGCAATTAGGATAAAAGTCAATTAAAATATCCTATATGCAGGTTCTCTTTGTGAATTTTACCAGGGTGTAAGTAAATCCACTATTTCCTTTCTTACTATAAAACACAAAAAACATGAGGCTCCAATATTTCAAAATATTGTACCTGTTTCTTCTTCGTATTTCCTAAGAGATCTGCCTTGTTCAGCACCAAGACATGTGGTCGGCCTTGTAATTTTTCTTTTAACTTAGGATTTCTTCCAGAAAAGGGAATTTAAGTGAAGTTAAGGAACAAGGATTTGGGTAGCACAAACAGTACCTTGAGGGAAAGATCTGTAAACATGACTGTTTAATACATGTAAATATGCATCCTCCAAAAGATCAGTATGGGTCGGCACATATATACATCTCGAATAGGCTTTACAGCTTATTTATAGGTCCTTTACTTTGGTAAGTGTACATCTTTGATGACAATTACTGTATTGTTCTTTATTGTAACCTCAGGTCTTAAAAAGTGCAAAAAATTACTGTTTGGAAACTCCATTACATACAGGTGATCACACATAGTACTTTAAGTCAGCCTTGTTTTCAGGACGTCATCTCCTCCACCCAGAAGCGGGCTGAAGGAGGGGGTGGGGGTGTTGCGGGGTGGGGGGAGGGGGTTGAGTTGTTCTAGCAAGTTTGCATATAATCGCTTTACTTTAATCATACAAATTTTTGCACTGAAAAGGATATTCTCGCATCATGAACTTCTATAACACAGTCGCATTTTTGTAATCGGAGTTGCATCATACGTAAAGCTGTAACAAATATATCAACAATGAATGAGTTGTCATAATGGAGATTGTTTCCTCAGTGTTATCGAAAATAATTTCAACAGCGCTGAGTGACAGACCCTTTGCCATGTGTCCTGGGAACCACTTGAGAAAAACACTGGGATGGAAGTCATTTGGAAGGTGGAAAGTTGGTCGAAAACTTGAGTTTGCCAGCCACAACTCCGCCCGACTTACGTACGGGCTGACCGCCATCTTGGATTACCTCTGACGAGCGCGTTGCATTGTGGGCATGTTTGATTTACCGCTGAAGAATCCGGAAAGACCGCAGGCGGATAAACAACGCTTGAATTCCGCAGGGCTAACAGTGTCGATGCAGATGTGGTTTCAAAGCGTCGTAAACAACATATGAAAGTATTTTAAAACGTTTAATTTACAGCTTGAGAAGAGCAAGGAAAATGCCAGGAATTACAAGTGAGTTTTCGTTGAGAAGCATAAAAATGAACGCGAGAAATGCAACAGGAATGTCGCTATATCAGTAACGTATATATATCAGTGGCGTCGTCCTGAGTTGAGTTTCGAGATTATAATATTTACTCTTGGCATTAAGGGTTCTTTGTATTTTCCCTTTTGACGACAGGTATTTTAACAGACGGCTGGGAACGTTCTGAAACAACCAATGGAGTTCCATATTATATAGAGTATGTACAACAAGTAAAATTAATATAAGTCAAAAATATGACCATGTTGTTTATAAAGCTTGGTTGCATTGAGGGTTTGTGTGTTTTGGCAGCCACTATAAGTACATGTAACCTTACCTATTTTGCAGTAAAGTATAAGAAACAAAGACTTAGTTGTCACTGGTCTATATGGCAGTATGAAGATTTCGGTATTCTACAACTTGTTCTTGGTAGTTTTTTAGTAGTAATATTAATAGAAATTTGCCGTTTTTATCCTACAGATGTTCAGTCGTCTGTTAAGTTCATCTAAATGATGCACTTAACAGAAGATTTTAATGCCGTGAGACGTTTAATACGTCTGTCTTATTTACCGTTTTTATACCAGAAATTAAAGTCGTCATTAACAACTTTAACGTCTGTAGCGTATAAAACAGCTATTTACATGGAATATTTAAAGTGATAGTAAAAGTGGTTATAAAATTTAAAAGTTGAACACACTATAATCATTAAACTATTATTGCACCTGTCAGAGCTGGGGGATTGAAAGTGTAAACCCAGTGGGTGTGTGATAATAATTATTTCAGGGCTCAAGCCACTTTAAGTTTCCCCTTCCCTGAGAACAAATGTGTATCAAATTACATTGTACCATTCCAAGAGTGTATTGCCAGATCGCCGATCTGATGTATGTGAAATACAGTTTGAAATTCATGTTACCATGATCGTAACCTGTGAGCAAGCTGTCCGGGGGACTCTGGCGGGGGATGGGAAAAGGAAGGAGAGCTTGGAACTACATCTCTGAAATTTGAATATCTGCATTGAAAAAGTCAATGCGAAATGATGATTGGTGGAGATGACATTAGTAATGATGTCATCATCCTTAATTGGCATCTGTTTTTCAATGTTTGTTAACATGCGCGCTCGGTTCCGCTTCGCGCTGATTGGTGGAAATCTGACAGCTCAGTCGACGGGGAGCCACAGGAGAACTGGGGCTGGAATTTAAATTGCAAGCTCTCCTTCCTTTTCCTGCCCTGCCGCCAGTGCGCCTGGAGAGCTCGCTCTCAGGCTATTGTTATTGTGTCTAGGGGGACTGGAAGCAAATTTGAAGGTAATCTCAGTAAACTAGAAAATTATAATACACTGTGAGTATTTATAATAAGCTGTACCTAATGAATAATCTCACTATTTTCTTGCTACAGCCATGAAACAGAAAGAACTCAGATAGAAATAAATAGTTTAAATAGTTCTCATTTATAACTCACTTGAAACACTTCTGTTTATTCAAAGTGAATAACAGATAGTCAGCAATGAGATCTTCACCCACGACATGGTCTTTAAAACATCCTGCAAAGAAATAGAAGTAATGCGACACTTTAAAATTAATGTCTAATTTTTTTTTTTCATTGAGTCAACTACTTATGTAAGTTCATTCCAAGGTAACAAAACAACCTGTTTAATTTTCCATATGATGTAATTGCAGCCAAGAAAGTATGCACTGTTTAAAATGCTTTATGGTTAACAGAACACTTTAGTTCAGCTTAGAAACAATGTAGAAACGTGTCTTGCTAATTTTTCACAGACACTTTAACAGTAATAAAAACAGTACCGGTTAAAGCCAATTTCATTCCCACTTCTGCTGTTGGTATATAAGGAGCCATGATACCTTAAGGAGATGAGAAAAGCCACACAAACATGTTAATAAAGCACCAAAAACTGTGTAACTGTAGCAGTCCCAGCTTGATTTTTTCAGTACATCATACAGGTGTTTGCAGTTTATTGCTGGTTTGCAGGGGATGTCATGGCAGCCAAACAAAAGCATTTCTTTCCTCTGGGAACTAAACATCATTTTCACATAAATTATACAATAAACTTTTATTGTATTGACCACCAACATGGCTGCCTTTAATTGTCACATGGTTGTAAACCAAGAATTTTTACCTGGCGTATCATACATGTATGCCACTGGCTCATCACAAACCTGCAATATAACACATAAATTAAAATACAAATCAAGCTTGAACATTCAAGAAGCATTATTAATAAACTGTTCATGTTTTAATTAATGTGACAGCAGTAAAGAGTTACCTTAATTCTATTTTCAATAGAAGTGGTTATCCCAGGGACTGCTCCAACTCTGGTAGCTTTACCTGAAATACATAAACTATAACGTGACCATTGATTATAGAAATTACATCAACAAATTATTACAAATCAAACAATCAGAGTTTCAAGAATTGACATTACAGTTGAGAAAGAGAGCAAAATTCTCAAATCAAACCCCATAATCATGGCAGGACAACCTTAACGGGTACAGCACTTGACCGCAATGTGGGAGGTCGACAATTAATTTTGATCCCTGGAATAGTCTACATCTTAATATAACTGAGAGATAAAGGTACTGCCTTTGCTCTGCAAATGGCTAGACCTTCTTGTGGCTCGGATGACCTCATAATATGGCAGTCCCATCTCCAGTAAAAACATTGCTCATACCTTTCTTCATGTATTTTCTTCTCAGTGCATTGACTAAAGAAGACTTTCCAGTATTTGGTAAACCACATATTAGAATGTTGTAAGGCTTGTCTGGTTCCTAGAAAGAAAATTGTTCAGGTTTAAAAAATAATATATCTGGTAGTATATGATAATTACACAGCCAAATAAACTTAACAACGGAAATTGGCCAACTCCCAATGAGCACTACTGGGCATCCTATAGAAGCCCTGAAATTTTCTCGAGTTTAATTTTGAACTGCAATATTACTGCTGCGATGATCATATTTTCATTTAAATTTGCAATCTTGCAGTTCACATCATCTTAATTCAATAATATGATAAATTAGAGAAAACCGAATCTATTAAGCAAATCGCTACAAAGCTCAAGAAAACACAAGTGTGAACAACCTTATTGTAAAATTTATATAACAGCAAGCACCAATGCAACTAGCAGTCTAATTCTTGTGGTGATGCTTGCATTTCCGCTTGCATTTGAATTTCACATGGGTGAACTACGACAATGCAAATGAAACCGCAAATTCAAAGGTGAAGATAGTTTAACAGCCATGTTGGGATGCAAGATACCCAAATGTATAGAGATATCTTAGTGCTTGAATCTGCATAAAATGTGTGATAATCTTTTGTGCTTGTGCTTCCAGTTGCATATGCACAGCTCACGTGACACATCCCTAAAATTATGTAGTCCACCACTCTATAATACTCTTAATCAAACAGAGACCATAAAGACCTTTGTTGATGTAATGAATTAAAAAGTTTAAAGGAGATTATGAAATCACACTTACTGGTCTGATATACGTTCCCTCATACTCTGCATCCTTAATAGCCTCTAGGGCGGTGGGAATTATCTGTTGACACAATAGAATACTTACTTACTTTTTCAATAATACACTCTATTTCTTAGAATAAGTGCCCCTTCCCTCCCCCCTTTTAGGACCTCTCCTTCTCAGGCGTAGATCTGGGATAAATACTGATTGATTTCCAAGCGGGGTCTGGGGGCAGGCTCCCTCAGGAAATTTTTTAGATTTTTACTCCTTTAAGTCCCCTTTCCAGGGTTTCCAAGTCATTCAGACAGGATTTCAACTTGGAAAGGGTTTTTTATTGTTACAAATATATTTATTATAAAAAATGTGACTGATTTCAGTAAAACAGTGGAAACCGGTGTGGATCCACACTAGCCTCTTTCCTTTGTTAAACAGTGAAGGTATCACAAGAAAAACTCTCCTTCTTTTCTAACTATAAGCACTGACATTGGCATTGGTAGCTCACTAGTAGCATTACCCCACAAAACAGTTCTTGGTATGCAATGATTTCACCTGAAAACCAACAATTTAATGAAATGTGCGCAATGAAATCCGCACCCTTAGGTATCCATACAGGGACTCCCTGTTGTGATAGAGTTGCCTAGACATACTTTACCTTTCTGATACTATGGTGATACTGTGCTTTACTGTCGGTAAACATTGCTCTGATACCGTCATCTTCCAGACATCTAAGGATATCCTTCAATTCAGATAAAAACATGTGTATAATAAAAGTAATGGTCATAACATTATTATTATCAAATAAGTCCCAGCCAATTAGCAGAGCAGGGAATTGGGCAATTAGGATAAAAGTCACTTAAAATATATATAGGTTCCCTTTGCAAATTTTACCAGGGTGTAAGTAAATCCAATATATCCTGTTTAACTACAAAACACAAAAAACATGAGGCTCCAATTATCTTTCAAAATATTGTACTTGTTTCTTCTTCGTATTTCCTAAGAGATCTGCCTTGTTCAGCACCAAGACATGTGGTCGGCCTTGTAATTTTTCTTTTAACTTAGGATTTCTTCCAGAAAAGGGAATTTAAGTGAAGTTAAGGAAAAAGGATTTGTGCAGCACAAACAGTGCCCTGAGGGAAAGATCTGAAAACATGACTGTTTAATGCATGTAGATATGCATCCCCAAAAAGATCCGTAAGTGTCGGCACCTATATATCTTGAATAGGCTGTACAGCTTATTTATAGGTTCTTTACTTTGGTAAGTGTACATCTTTCAATTTGGTTGAGGTGTTGGATGAAAGCCCTTGATAGCAAGTTTGCATATAATCGCTTTACTTTAATCATACAAGTTTTTGCACTGAAAAGGATATTCTCGCATCATGAACTTCTATTACACAGTCACATTTTTGTAATCGGAGTTGCATCATACGTAAAGCTGTAACAAATATATCAACAATGAATTAGTTGTCATAATGGAGATTGTTTCCTCAGTGTTATCGAAAATAATTTCAACAGCGCTGAGTGACAGACCTTTTGCCATGTGTCCTGGGAACCATTTGAGAAAAACACTGGGATGGAAGTCATTTGGAAGGTGGAAAGTTGGTCGAAAACTTGAGTTTGCCAGCCACAACTCTGCCCGACTTACGTACGGGCTGACCGCCATCTTGGATTACCTCTATCGCGCGCGTTGCATTGTGGGCATGTTTGGTTCACCGCTGAAGAATCCGGAAAGACCGCAGGCGGATAAACAACGCTTGAATTCCGAAGAGCTAACAGTGTCGATGCAGATGTGGTTTCAAAGCGTCGTAAACAATATATGAAAGTATTTTAAAACGTTTAGTTTACAGCTTGAGAAGAACAAGAAAAATGCCTGGAATAACAAGTGAGTTTTCGTTGAGAAACATAAAAATGAACGCGAGAAATGCAACTGGAATGTCGCTATATCAGTAACTATGGCGTCGTCCTGAGTAGAGTTTCGAGTTTATAATATTTACTCTTGGCATTAAGGGTTCTTTCTATTTTCCCTTTTGACGACAGGTATTTTAACAGACGGCTGGGAACGTTCTGAAACAACCAATGGAGTTCCATATTATATAGAGTATGTACAACAAGTAAAATTAATATAAGTAAAAAATATGACCATGTTGTTTATAAAGCTTGGTTGCATTGAGGGTTTGTGTGTTTTGGCAGCCACTGTAAGTACATGTAACCTTACCTATTTTGCAGTAAAGTATAAGAAACAAAGACTTAGTTGTCACTGGTCTATATGGCAGTATGAAGATTTCGGTATTCTATAACTTGTTCTTGGTAGTCTTTTAGTAGTAATATTAATAGAAATTTGCCGTTTTTATCCTACAGATGTTCAGTCGTCTGTTAAGTTCATCTAAACGATGCACTTAACAGAAAATTTTAATGCCGTGAGACGTCTAATACGTCTGTCTTTTTTTTACCGTTTTTATACCACAAGTTAAAGTTGTCATTAACAACTTTAACGTCTCTAGCGTATAAAACAGCTATTTACATGGAGTATTTAAAGTGATAGTAAAAGTGGTTATAAAATTTAAAAGTTGAACACACTATAATCATTAAACTATTATTGCACCTGTCAGAGCTGGGGGATTGAAAGCGTAAACCGAGTGGGTGTGTGATAATAATTATTTCAGGGCTCAAGCAACTTTAAGTTTCCCCTTCTCTGAGAACAAATGTGTATCAAATTACATTGTACCATTCCAAGAGTGTGTTTACAGATCGCAGATCTGATGTATGTGAAATGCAGTTTGAAATTCATGTTATCATGATCGTAACCTGTGAGCAAGCTCTCCGGGGGACTCTGGCGGGGGATGGGAAAAGGAAGGAGAGCTTGGAACTACATCTCTGGAATTTGAATATCTGCATTGAAAAAGTCAATGCGAAATGATGATTGGTGGAGATGACATTAGTAATGATGTCATCACCCATAATTGGCATCTGTTTTTCAATGTTAACATGCGCGCTCGGTTCCGCTTCGCGCTGATTGGTGGAAATCTGACAGCTCAGTCGACAGGGAGCCACAGGAGAACTGGGGGTGGAATTTAAGTTGCAAGCTCTCCTTCGTTTTCCTGCCCTGCCACCAGTGCGCCTGGAGAGCTCGCTCTCAGGCTATTGTTATTGTGTCTAGGGCGACTGGAAGCAAATTTGAAGGTAATCTCAGTAAACTAGAAAATTATAATACACTGTGAGTATTTATAATAAGCTGTACCTAATGAATAATCTCACTATTTTCTTGCTACAGCCATGAAACAGAAAGAACTCATTGGGATCACCCAGACATGATCAGTTTATTGGAAGAAATAGGTATTAATTTTGATCCAGGCTGAAAGTTCCCTTGAATATTATCTCCTGTTACGTTAGCTTAGTACATTTGTACTCTAAGCAGGTCCTGGCTTCCGGATAAGTTTGATAACATACCGTAAAATTCCGAAAATAGGCCCCTCCATGTATAAGCTCCTCTAAATATAAGCCCCCCAAACTTGTAATGCAAAAAAACCTTCATTTAATCCCCCCTCCGAATATAACCTCCTGGGGGCTTGTACTTGGAAATTGCCCCCTAATATTAAGTAAAACAGGGTTCGCACAGTCTTGAAAAGTCCTTGAATTTTAGGGGAAGTCCTTGAAAAGTCCTTGAATTCCATTTTTCCTTGAAAAGTCCTTAAATTTCTGTGTAAGTCCTTGAAAAGAGCTTGAATTTTCTTCAACTTTGAATGTAGTAGCCTGGAAATAATTTTTTGATGCTTTTTGGTTGTCCAAGACAGGATATAAATCGTAGCTCAGTGAATGTAAAGGTCATTTACATAAAGTGGTCCATGTTTTATGCAATAATTAACTATCAGTTTAAGACAAGTAAACTGAAAAATGTAGAGAATTTGGTGAAGCAAACAGTTAATGCCTTAAAGTCTTATTAGAATATACTGGGAATATGCATTTTTGTACAGTCTGTGAAATTATATTCCTAGTAGGTTGTCCTTGAAAATCTAATGTGGTCCTTGAAAAGTCCTTGAAAAGTCCTTGAAAAATGGTTGCAATTTTTTGTATGAACCCTGTAAAACAAAGCAAAAACAGTAAATTTCCTTCAAACTAGAAGCTAGCCCAATCAATTTTGAAATGCAAATTTCCCTCCGTACATAAGCCCCTCTGAATATAAGCTCCTCCAAAAATAAGCCCCTCAAAAAGGTTCTTTAAAAAATATAAGCCCCGGGGCTTATTTTCGGAATTTTACAGTAGCTTCATGTATAATAAATGATTTTTTTCTAATTTATCTGTAGAGAGTTTAAATAATATCAAGTATGCTGCTTACCGCACAGCCATGAAACTGAGAGCCATCCAAAAGAAAACACAATGTAAGTGATTAATAATATGACAAAATTTTAAATCATTGGAAAAGAAAAGGACATAATTTAAAGTATAATGAGTCCAATATGTAAGATAGGAGTGGGCACTTGTTTTTCTGCCCAAGTTTCTCACTAAATCTCTGTCATCATTAATTTATTCACTGATTTCACAGGAATCTTTCTTTTATTAGTAATTGCTACAGAATGATGAATTTATTTGTTAAATTACTAGTCCATTCTTCTTCAGTTTTATTTTTTTAATTTACCTACACCATGTAAAAGTTGAGATGACTTAATCAATTCTCTAATTTTTTTATTATTATTCTATATTTTGATTAGTATACATGGTTGGTCTACATGCCATCAAATCAACCTTTGATGACAATGGCATCAAAGACGGCTTTGTTGACGGAAACCTGTCTGTAGAAGAATTGATGACAATAATTACTGCAGTCTTTGAAAACCAGTCTGGGGTTCGTGGCACTAATCGCATTGACGTATCTCTTGGAAGTGAACTGGCTTTGAACTGGATTCTTAATGTTTATGATCCGTGAGTACAATATGAATTTAATGTCAGCATGCAAAAACAGCCATCCTTATTGTTCACCACCATAAGGGATGTTTTGTGAGTAATGAGAAGCAGTTATATTTGCAGGCTAATAAATTAAAGTACACTATTACTAATGTACCGTAAAATTCCGAAAATAAGCCCCGGGGCTTATATTTTTCAAAGGCCCTTTTTGATGGGCTTATTTTTGGAGGGGCTTATATTTGGAGGGGCTTATCTACGGATGGAAATTTGCGTTTCACACCCGATTAGGTTAGCCTCATAGTTGGAACTAAATTTACCATTTTTGCTTTGTTTTACGTTGTATTTGTGAGCAGTTTTTCCAAGTACAAGCCCCAGGGGGCTTATTATCGGAGGGGCGATTCAACAGAGGTTTTTTTGTGTTACCGGTTTGGGGGGCTTATACATGGAGGGGCTTATTTTCGGAATTTTACGGTAGTATCGATTTTCACGTTACAAACTAATTTTTTAACATCTTTTCACCTTTCTACCTACCTCTCTCTTTAGTTGTTAAGTTGTTTTTGTCTAAGCCACTTTATACAGTTGAATCTTCCTTCTTGTATGACTAAAGCAGGTGTTCTCTGCCCCTAAACAAATTATTGAGACCTTGTGCACAGCATAGCATATCAGAGATATTCTCTCCTTAACTCCCCAAAGAGTTGACCCTCTCAAGGGGTTGAGGCAAAGGGAAGACTGACATATCAGAATTCAAAGGAACAAAAGCTTTCCTATAATCAGAAAGATCTCTACATTATCTTTATTAATTTTATCTCCATAGCCTCGTTTCTCTGTCAGTGAATGTTCTTCCTTCTTTAATTTGCAAATGACTGACAAATGTAGTAAATGACCTAAAAATGGATAATGTTGTCCAAGACTCTCACTAAGGGTTGGGAGCTGGGGATTTTCCCCAGCTAACTATTAACCAAATGAATATCCTTGCTGGTCAATTTCCTGCCTTTATACATGTATTGCATCGAAGCAGCAACTTGAAATCTTAGTGGCAGCCCTGATACTGGGCATCTTTAAATAATTTTTTTTTTTTTTCTTTATTTGTGACAACAGGGGAAGATTGGGTTATGTGCCAATTCTTTCATTTAAAATTGGTCTTGTTGTGATGTGTTCTGAGAAAGTGCAGGAGAAGTACAGATGTAAGTTTCTTTTTATCAAAGTACAAGTAAGATTGATATAGTTTGTTGCCTGTAACAGTGCATGTTTGTGCTGATCGTATTTATCATATATTTTTTTCTTTTTTCGGTTAAAGACTTGTTCTTACAACTTTGTAACAATCAAGGATTTTTGGATAACAAAAGGCTTAAATTGTTCCTGCAACAGATGATTCTGGTAAGAAATAAAGAATTACATACAAAGTCAAACTTGACACACCTATATACTAAGTTCTCACTTACATTTTTGGTAGATTCCAAAGTATATCTACGAGAGTGCAGCCTTCAGTGGATCTAGTGTTGAGCCAGCTGTGCGAAACTGTTTTGAAAGGGTAAGTTTATAACTGTGGTCATATACATGTGTAGCCATGAAGTAGTACCCTTTAAGACCGGAATTGAGGGTCACCAAATGAATATGTGTATTTCATACCAGTGAGAATAACTGTCAGTTACACTGCTGATCTGTCAAATAACTTTCCGAGCATTTTTTCTTTTCATGCGAGCAGTAGACAAACCTGATTGAAGTGTTTCCTTTCTCACAAAATGCTGGAAACTTTTCTTTCGTTGCATGAAATCACATGCACAAAAACCTTTACCTAAATGCATCTAAAGACTTAAAGACATTTTTTTCAGACTGGTAGTACAATTTATTTGTATTTATGCTGTCTGTTAGTAACATTTTTGTGATAACTTTGCTTTAATCCAGGTGTCAATTCCAGAAAGAGTGTCCATTGAGGAGTTTATTGAATGGATGATTGCTGAACCTCAAACGATTGTATGGCTTCCTACGCTTCATAGATTAGCTGTGTCAGAAACAGGTTCCCATTTCTTATTTGTTTGTAATACTTTTTATTCTCTCACTTCAATTTACACATAAACATTGCATTATGCCATGGTGATAAGCTTAAGTTTTTTTCAAACTTTAGGATGTATACAGCTATTTCGAGAAAGGTTGTCGGAAAAAGTGCCCGCGACAATCCCGAAAGGTATTGTGGGTGGTTTTTAATTCACTGTTTTTCAAAGAAATTTCAAACAATGGCAAGAGAGGCCATGGATGTATGTTTGCGAGTGCTGACGGAAAGCAATAAAAGTAGGTTAGACAGCTACAGTGTCAGGAAAAGTGTATTGATCATATCCCATATCACCTTTCGGGATTGTCGCGTGCACAGTTTTTCAGACAACCTTTCTAGAAATAGCTGTATGTGTTGACAGCTTCTGCCCATATGAGATCTTTGGTAAATAGATAATTTTGTAGGCAGTCCCAGAGTGAATACTATGGTGGCCCAGAAGGGTCACACATGCAAATGAAAAATGTTGCTGCAAACTAAAAATTTTACCTGCAAATTAAAAATGTTGCTGCAAATTAAAAATAGGACATGCAAATTAAAAATTGTACATGCAAACTAAAAATATTACAAACATGAAATATGAATGGGCTGACGACTGTAAGGCCAGGTCGCACGGCTTGGACCAGGTCCTCATCACTCATACTGCGTGCGCAGGACTTTTCATTTTTAAATTGCAGCACAATTTTTAGTTTGCATGTACTATATTTAATTTGCAGGTAATATTTTTAGTTTGCATGTACAATTTTTAATTTGCATGTACTATTTTTAATTTGCAGCAACATTTTTAATTTGCATGTGGGACCCTTCTGGGCCATGGTAGATAACATTGTAACCTTATCCTATCTCTAAAAACACAATTTTTGTTCAAACTCGCTGGTTAGCAGTGGCAACTTAAATGAAAAAACTTGAAATGTAACAGAGATGTCATTTCCTTTCAGTTAAACATGAGGCCAAATGTAATGTTTGCAAGATGTACCCTATTGTTGGCTTCAGGTGAGATGGAATGACCTTACTTTTACTGTATGTGTTCATGAAACTCTGTCTATGTTTATGAAAAACTAATGTACAATGTTTGTTCAAATCCATCACCAGATATCGATGCTTGAAGTGCTTCAACTTTGATCTTTGTCAGGTGAGAGAATGCTGTTAAAAAATGGTATAATTGGAGACATGTTTGTCTCTTTGTTAGGTAACAATTTACAGTAATTCATGTTTGTTTAAGTTTGAAAGTTTATGTTATGTTTATTGGCTAGAACAGTGAAGACAAATCTAAAGTGATTAACCCATCACAAAAGCCACAGACAAAATAAACCAATCAAAGCTAGAAGCATAACACATATTGCCCAGTGATGCTAAGCGTGGGAAAACACTTGCAACCGGGTCTTTGGCTTACTCCTAATTGGCTAAGAAATTGGCAAAAGACTTTTAAGCCAATCAGAAAGTCTGATGATGTACAAAACCTCATCATGATAATTCAACTCCTCCTTCAGATTTTCTGCAAACCAACTACCTTTGAACTTTCTAATGTGTTTGTTCTTTGTTTGTTTTATAGGGATGTTTCTGGTTGGGCCGTGTAAATAAGCAGCACAAGATTGGACACCCCACTCAAGAATACTGTCTAGTGGTACGATGTAATGATGCTATGATTCTTCCCCTCCCCCCTGCTGCTTCCCCCCAGTTCAAACATGAGCTTCAATTTTTACAAATGTAAATGAGTGTTTCGATGATCCAGGCACTGAAGCAGGATGAAGAAAACTAAGCATCTTAATTTTGTTTAAATTTCAAACAGTCAACGCAAAAGGAAGACATCAAAGATTTTGCCAAAGTGATGCGGAACAAAGTGAGTAAGAAGAAGAAAAAGGCTTCACAACATCCCTCAAAAGGAAGGTTTATTCCAATTGAAATGGAAGAAGCTCCACCATCTGAGGAAGAGGATGAGTAAGTTTCAAGTTTGTGATTGGCTCAAAGAACCCTCACGCCACTTTCTCTTACTCAACCAATCAAAGTGAAGTCAATTGAGACTTGCTTTCACAAATTTTCCCAGTTTTTGGTGTTGGTAACAAAGTGCATGTTATTTTCTTGAGATCTGATTGGTTTATTTGAATTTCTGCACGTTTCTGGGTTAGTTTGTACATGTAAGAGTGGTACTTTGATTTTGATTACACGGTACTTTTAAACTGACTGAGCTGGCTTATCAAGTTAATGTTTGACCAAGAATTGAAGTTTTGAGGTCATGGCATTATCTTAATTATCAGTCAGTCTATTTAGGGGATAGGCATTAGGGACTTCGTTGCTTAAATGAAAAAAATAAATGCAATGTTTAAATTGCAGGGATTCCATAGATGCCGGTACTCCAAGGAAAGGTTTCCCTGGAACACACAACAAACCAGAAGGACACACAGAAAGGTGTGCGTTACTTTGTTTACCTAAAGTTTTAATTGTTATGCTAGTTTCAGTCTTAGTGCCTGCTTACATGGAGGTGGGGGACCCTAGATAGGTGAGGTAACATGTGGCGGGTCACCCCACCTAGCTATCATGTAAACCTGATCAAAGTTAACGAAAATAATGAGAGATTATATGGACAGGCGGGTTACCCCACCTGAGCAGGTTACCTCACCTACCTGGGGTCCCCCACTTCCACGTAAACAGGCCCAAAGTGCCATTCTTCTTCTTGCACATGGAAGAAGATAGAGTATAAATGACAATTTCTCTTGTGGTTCCCGATGACCTTAATACACAGTACACCCCATTGATTTAAAGTAATACTTGGTAAGCCTGTCTATATCTTCTTACATTTTTATGTGTTTTCAGACTGCCACAAAGTGAGTTAAAAGAAGAAGATGAAGAACCAACATATGCACAGCCAGTTAGAACAAGACGTGTCGTGTAAGAATGTCATGAAATGTACTCTTGCTATTGCAATCTCTGGAATAGTACAAATGCCGTTCCTCTAATCCCTTCCATTTTTAGTTGTTTATCTCACCCCCCCCCCCCCCTCCCCCCCTGCAGTGGGGGGGGGTAAGCGGCCGCTGGGTTCCTAGGCTAATAATCAATCCATTGAAAATGTTTTTAGATAACGGGTAGCTATTTTGTTTTCTTGTGTTAACTAAGTTTCACTGTAACTTTTTCAATCGTCAACTATCAGCAGCCAGTTATGACGTATATGGCCAAGCAAATTGGTTTGAATTTGAATTTGAATTCATGATCCAGTGCGAATTTGCACGCAATGAGCTGAAAACTGTAAAAATAAATTACTGTGACCAGCATGTTTTGAGGTGTACAGTATTGAATGAGCTCAAGCTAATGTAATTCTCTCTTGGAATTCAGCATTCAATTCGCTCTTAATGAACACCTCCATAAGACAAACATCTTCTTAGAGTTGAATCCTGAGTCCTTTTTCTGTCTTTTTTTCTCCCGCCAACACAGATCCCTCTTTGCTGTAAAGCTATTTGCATTGTCTATTGACAGACAGACAATCCTTATCGCCAGTGACGTTCATTTGTTTGTTTTCTTTTTTGACTACCAACAGGAACGATGAACACCGTCTTATAAGGCATTATGCTAAGAGGTAATTGCCTCTTCATCTTTAAATATACGTAGAAAGGGTCCAGAAAGGCTGATCAAGGCACGTTAAGTGATTAAGAAAATAATAGTTAAAAAAAGTAGAAAGGTCCGGGTTAAAGCCGTTAAAGATGATTAATCATTCAGCTTTAGACAAATCTGTGAAGCGTCGCACACCTGTCTCCCCAACTTCATAAACAGAAGAAAGAAGAGAGTGAAAGAAAGAAGCAAGTGAGAGAATCCTGGGAACGAGGTTGCGGTAACCTTTAGATGGGTTGCACATTGCCAGGGCAACGTTCACTTATATGTCCGCTTACAGAGCATGTCCCTCTTACCCCGGCAGGATTCACTGCAAAGCGGGAGGTGTCGGGTTCGATAACCAGGGCCGGAACAATACTCAGGGTCTTAAAATAACTGAGAAATGAAGGTGCTTCTGTCTTTGCCCCACAAACGGCTTAGACTGCAAAACAGTACGAATTTTTGCGTGTTCAAGAACGCGCGAGCTGTCAAACAGAAGGTCTGCAACGAGGCCGAAAACAGAGAGCGAGACTGGGAAGAGACGCAGGCCCTGTGGGCGTATGAGGCCCTCGCGCGTACGACTATACGCCACGCTTTACCGATTTCTTTACTGATTTTGAGGGAAAAAACCGACTGTTTTGCAGTCTACAAACGGCTAGACCTTCGCGTGTCTCGGATGACCACGTAAAATGGTGGTCCCGTCTTCAGTAGGAGACGTAAACATGGTGTCCTCACTTAATACTTTCTTGCTAAATACATTGACTCTCAAGAAAGTAATGTTTACTTTGTTATTTTTTTTTTCAGCTTGACTGGTCAACCAGATTCAACGGTAAATGAGGTTTTTTCTCGCGTGCGACGAGAAGCTTCGTCGGCCGAAGACACGAGCGGCGAAGCCTCGAGTTTTGTTATTGGTTAATTTGAGTTTGCTGGTGGGGCTGGGTCGTTGTCGTTTCGAATTGCTTTATGGGAATGTTTTGGGGACGCTATTTCATTTTATTGGCTATTACGGCGTTGCGCAGCAAACTGGGTATAAATTTCGTCTCCCAAAAATTCCCATTGAGGAATACGACACCACACCACTCTGTACTCATGCGCAACCACGAAGTGAAGAAAGTTGGTCACCATAAATAAATTCAAAAGTTGATTCTTACCGTTGGTCTCCTTCGCAACCGGTTTTAGGGTCGTCATGCGATAGGAGCTTCCGCGATGACCCTAAAAACGGCTGTGAAGGAGACTAGCTTAGCGCTTGAATACTTTTGTTTGCAGCCATTTGCCCAAATTACAAACGTTTCACGAAATTCAGAAGCGAAATGATATCATATTCAGAATTCGCTTTGCTATTTTTGTGCATGAATTAGCAGTTTATTGAAATGGTCAAACAGCATTTCAGGATTGTTCAACAAATTTAACAGTTGAAACATATTTCATAAGGAAGATTTTAGTACTAGTGAAGGCACTCATTTCAAAATAGCGCTTCCAGCAACTAAAAATGTCATCATTGTTTATCGGTTGGTTTTGTGTTGCCATGGCAAGCCGCCCTCAGATGTGGCCTGGAAGTATCTTAGCTTGGTGAACCTGTGCTCAGACACTTTTTCAAAAAAGTCTGCTGTATATCTTGTTTTTAGTCTCCTGATGCCTCTCAGATGGCAAGAGACTTGGACAGCCAGGAGAAGCAAGATTTGGAAGATCTGATCGTCAGATTGGAAGATGACAACAGGTATTTTAGACTTTATTAATTAAATGGAATTGGCTCATTTGAGACATTGTAGAATTGGAATAAGTAGGGAAACCGGTGGGATTGGAGAAAACAAAGATTAATGTTGGTTGATAGGCGTGTTTTTCTGCAATTTTATTTTTTATATCATGTAAAACTAAGTCAAAGGTGCCATTTAACCGGGGATTGACAAGCATTCAACGTCTCTAATGTTTAGAGTGATTTTCGATTGTTTTTTGTTTTGTTTGTTTGCTTGTTTGTTTGTTTTTTTTTACAGAGCATTGCAGGGCGAGATTAACAGTATTCACCAGTTACAGCGCCACAATGAAAGCGAGCAGAGTATCGTGCCTGCCGTTCAAGAGCCCGCCAAAGAGGCCTTCTTACGTCATCAGAGGGAACGATTGGAGGCACGTGAGGAGGTCCTCGAGGAGCACAATTATCAGCTGCAAGTTCAGCTCCATCGTCTGAGGATCCTTCTACAGCAGGTACAGACACAGATTGAACTGCGACGCTCGCAACATTGGGTTTAAGTTATTTGTCAACGAAGAATAAAGACTTACTGTACATGTATATAGGAAAGGGCTCTGAGAGACAACTTGTTAGCATGAAGAGCAATAGTCGAGGTCTGGTTGTATTCTCGTGGCAGTTATTGCAGTCTCATTTCTTTCAAAATAGAGGGTTGTTTGGAGCAGAACTCGCGTTATTGTCAAAACCAAAACGAGGGTAATTGCTCTTGCCAATCGCATCAAACTTAAACAATTTGATCAGCCAATCAGAATGTGAGGCATGAAATGGGCGCCAAGCGCGGGAAAATGCTCAAGCAAGTTACGACCAGTTTTGATCTAGCTTCTGATTGGTTGAGAAAGTGGCATGAGTTTGTCAGCTAATCGCAAAGCATAGTAGTACACGACGAAAGCAGTCACATGATTTAATTCTGGTGCTTAGTTCAGTAAAAAAAACTCTCCACCAGAGTGCAAAGAATGGTCGGTTTTTCTGAGAGAATATAAGAGATTTTGTGGGTTTTGCTAGTCTCCTCCACATCCACTTGGGCCGGAGAGATAAAATAAAAAATGTAAATTTAATGCCGTGATTATTGCTGTTAACTAGAACGGTTAATAACTTCAAGCTCTTAACGATTTGTTAATCCTGTTCAGACTCTTAGAAATGGAAGCAAAAAAGGTTCAGGTTCCAAGATTTAAATTTACTTAAACAAAATCAACCGCACGTAACCTTCATAACGACCGCTTAACTAAACAGATATGTACATTGGACCATCTCAATGACCTTTAAAACACTAAACGGTCAAACTTATGACTGTTACAATAAATTCGCGAAAGGAATTCGAGAGAAAAACATGATTTCGGGTGAAGGAGGTGAGAGGCTAGCCTTGGAACTCTTGTGAGTCCAGATCCCTTTTCTGTACCTCTCCTTTCTCCGTGCTGTTATCCCTTGGGATCTCCTTTTCCTATCCGCTCTCCCCTTGCCCCCCCCCCCCCCCCCCCCTCCCCTCCTCCCCCCTCTTTTTTTCCCCCCCCCCACCCCCTCCTCCCCCCCTCTCTCTTCTCCCCTTCGAATCCCCCCCCCCCCTTTCTTCCCCCCCCTCGGCTTTTTTTTTCTCCCCCCCCCTTTTTGTCTTTCCCCCCCCCTCTTCTTCATCTCTCCACCCCCCCCCCCCCCCTTTCCCTTCTCTTTCCTCGCTATTTTTTCCCCAAACAGAGAGCCTGTTCACAGGCTACTATGCGGTCTCCTAGAGGAACTCCCCATCCTGTGTGGTCCCCCCTTGGGAATTTCCTTTCTCCCCGTACCTTGTGAGATCTTCCACTCCGTTTGGAACTCATTTCCCCTGCCTTCCCCACCAAGAAACTCTCCCCGTAGGGATATTCCCATTGGAGCCCTTCCCTGAGGAATTCTCTACTTCGTAACACCATGCTTCGCTCTCGAATTTCTCTCGCATTTTTTCTTCTCCGCCTTTTAAGCAGCTGCCTAAATGATGAATTTGATAATTTCCATTAAATTACTTTAACTATGGATTGTAAAGTTCTTAAATCATTAAAATCTAAACTCCCTTAAAACTCGTGTTGTGGCTTCATTTGTTTACCTTAGGACGAGCGCACCCTCGCTAGTCTCATCGAAGAAGAAGACAAAATGAAAGCAGTGTACGGGCGTGACAGCAGAGCAAAGTTACTTTTAGAGGCTGAAACCAAATCACCTACGGTACTGCACATTTCGTTTTTGTCTCTTGTTGTTTTATATCTATTTTGCACCTTGCATTTCCACTTTTATGCAGTTATTCAACAACCATAGTTGTTATTAGACGTGAGGCTCGGGTTAAGCTTCGTTTTGATACAATTTCCTACTTTTCAGATGCATGTCGTGTTGGTCTTGTGCTAAAAAATATTTGTTCGTGTCCACCACAGCCTCGCAATTATAAAAAAGAGAGTTAGAGTTAGAGTTATCGGTAGGGTATAAGGCAATTCCCTTGGCGAAAGAAAAATCTGTAGGGTATGAGCAATCTTTCATTAGTCAACTTCATAGCCCTCCTTAATGTATATTCATTGTTTTAATACTGGTGAGATTTAAATGTTCTTGAACGGTATTGCTTATTGACGCTTTCTTTTGTTATTAATTATTTAAGGAGGAATTCAGAAGTGTAAAAATACCTTATATTTTATTTATATATAACCGCCATCGTATTCAGTGTATTCAGTTAAGCTGTTTTCAACACTGAACTTATAAATATTGCTTGTGCTTCTGCTTAGCAATCTTCCTATAACAGCACATCGTCTAAACTAAAAATATTGTAAAAGAAGGCGTTGGAATTTTGTCCTATCCTGTAAGAGAGCTATACATCCTAGAGGTATTGCTTTTAAGCTTTAAATCTATGAAGTTACCATCTTATATTGTTGAACTAATATTCCATTTAGTCCTAAAAAATATTCAGACCTTGCGACAGGTAAGATTGTTAATCTGTAAATGCAGATATGAAAACGGCGAGGAAGAGCTCGATCGTATGGCTTTTCTGCGTTTTCAAATTTGAAAATGCTGTGATTTTCAAACAGATACTACTCGCTTTTTGGAGTAACAGTAGTTCTGTCTGAAAACAAGGAAATGCAACGTTGTGGCTGTAGAGTAAGGAAAATGGTATTTGCAATTTTATTCAAATAACTCTTTGTTAACAACTAGAATTAATGCAAAAAATATTATCTTGTTTTAATATTTTAATAACCTCTTGCTGGGTATTGAATGGTTGAATTAATACAAAAATTATCTAATTTCAATCTTCTGTTTCTCTATTGTTGAGCATTGCGCGCTTCACCAAAGTACTTTTCGTTAAAAGATGGCGATTTCGTTGTAAGTACATGGTTAACGCATCTTGACTTCCCTATTCAATACTCGTTGTTGATAACTTGCGCTTAACGGCCTTTCTTACTATCATAAAAATCATAAAAATAGTTATGGAAGACAGGTGACGGCGTGCATGCACGAGTGTTAACTTAAACGTATTTTCTCTTCTATTTTAGGGTGATCTCTCACTGCCAGTTTCCTCTACAATGAAATCAGTGGTCCAGTCTTCTCCTCCTGCGCGCACAAGTCGAACTGTAGCGGAAGCCACAAGTGCAGCTCCCCAGACGAACCACAATACGCCGACTCTAACCTTTTCCCGCGTTCCTCAGCAAACTACTTATGTATCAGGAATTTCATCGCCTCACATTCCCACCCACACCTCGATTCCACAAAACACCTTCCTAACACCTGGTCCTCCAATGCCAGCCTACTCCGCACAGTACTCATTGACGCCTGGCGCGTCCCCTCCTTGGCGAAACCCTTTAATACAACCGCACAGTGGTGATATCCGGGAGAAATCGCCGAATACAAGCGCGACATCATTGGCTGGTCCTTTTGTTCCTAAAACGGCTGCTGAGTTAGGGTTGTTAGACCGGCCGGTCAGCTCGACGTATGAAGGCATGGAGCTTAGTAATATTGTGGATAGAATGACCGCTGCCTTCCCCATGGACATGCATTCTGGTATTTTATACCTCTGTTTACTTTTGTCTCTTCTAAAAGAATGACCGCAAGATAGATTTCAGTTGAAGAAAATTTATAGTCGAATAGTACATATGACATCACCTAACATTTGAAAAATCACACTTAAGGATTCCATCGTCAGACTCAAAAGTAAGAATCACCTTGTATAACATGATGAACAGCACCATGGGAAAGTACTGCTCAGTAGCTTTCAGTTGAATGGCCACACCTCAGGATTTCAATCACAGACTCGAAAGGTTTCTCGTTGCTCCCGCCCCAATCTCCTCGCGGCTTCACTGCCCTCGCCCGCCTGAGCTTGTTTGCTCGCCGACCAAGACCTCCATGCTACACAGGCTAACAGCACCATAGTTAGGTTTTTCTCATTATCTTTTTTGAATAGTCACACTTTAGGATTTCATCCACAGAATTTTAAAAGTTAGAACCACCTTTTCGTAGTATAACAACAGTACCAAAGCAAAGTACTACTCAGTAGCTTCATTTGATTCGCAGTACCTTTCTCTAACCCTTGCTCTTGTTGTTCAGACATGCAGGTGGACGTTCACAACGATCTGTTCCTATCAGCGAGTCTCATTGGTGAAGCCATGCAGTCAATAGTTAACACAGTATCCAGGGATATAGGTAATTGCGTACAATAGGGCAAACCTAGAAGCGGAGCTTCTATTCTTAATGAATAGGCTGTTGAATACAAATAGCTCTAATCTTTACAAGTAACAGGATTATATGATTGCAGGAGCCTCCTAATGGGTTTAATTAATCTTGTTCTGTTTTGCGTGGTTACTTTTTTTATCCTTTGTTTGCGCATCGTTTCTTTGGGCAATCTGTTTGTGCGTGGATGCTTTGGCAACCCTCGGTGTGAACTCTTCTTTAGGAACCCTCTGTGACCTCTGTGTGTGTGCGTCACTACCCCCGTGTTGGGTGTATCACTACGTGTGCGTCGCTGCTTTGCGGTTGCTGTGTGTGCGTCAATACTTAGAGTGTTCTGTGCGTTCTTCGCCTCGTTGGGTTTCCTATGTGTGGTGCAAAAAAATGCACCCTCGAAACAAAACAGAAGGTTTTTATGTGCAAAAATTTCATAATAATGATAATGACCGTCATCAGAGTTCATTAATGTTTGTTCTTTAATATCTGTACAGGCGCAAGGAAAGGTGGGTTAAATTCTCTAGACGCTCCAAAGTTTAGAAGAGATCCTGACGAACCTGATTACTACGGACAGGTCAGCAAATTAGTAGAAAGTTTTTTTAAAACTTTATTTTTCTTCTTCACCCCTCTTTAGTAAATAATCAAGGTAAGCCAAATCTCAATACTCTATCCACACTCCAGTTAGCCAATGCGCTTCCAGAATTTCACATAGCGCGCGAAAATGGAATGTTTATGATGACTGTACCTTTTTTCATTAGGGTATTTCCGGTTCCGGTGAATGGCCCAGAGAAGACTTCGATGTGAATAGCAGGCATTCTAACGACAGGTATGACATATTTGTTAGCTGCCTTTGATGCATGTTTCTTGAGTTGTAGTTTTATACTTATTATGGAAAGGAAAACAATCCATTTCGGCAAGGCATCGAGTCCACTTGACTTGAGATATCCTCAGATTGAGGTAAGACATTTAATGGACACCGCTGTGACGAACACTACCCACACTTAAAGATCAAATTGTCATAACAAATTCTTGTACACGGAAAATGTTCCTCCACCTTATTCACCATGTCTAACAGCAGCTGCTTTTTGGACAAGCTTTCCTGCAAGCAGAAACCTAGACTTACCCCACAGACTTTCAGAAAAGCTTGCGGGAACATTTCTTTATCTAACGGATGATTGTTAGCTTGGTTATTTTATTTTTTCAGTATAGTAAACATCACTTTGTTGATGTTGTTCGTGTAATGTAATTGAGTTTCTTGTCATTTTATTTCTCCTTTTGCAGTACCGAAGGATACGAATACGGACCGCTTTAACTAGAGCGCTTAGATAATACCTGGCTATGGAGTGTGCTTGAATTGTCATACCCCTTGGTGGTAAGCGACTTTGAGGTTTTTGATGACGGGAAATAGACTAGACCAGGCGGCGGCAAAAAAGAATATGTGAGACAAAGATCCTTCGCCAGAGACAGCTGACAGAAAAAGGGTTCATATACAATGGCTGGAAAATGGCAGTTGTGACGGTAGGACATATGGCGAGATACGTGTGGAAACCCGTGAAGGAAAAGAGGTGCAGAACGCTATGATGGAACGTTCATCTGCCCCCTTGAGACGTTTTCGGAAACGACTGAAAACTTGACGGTTGAGGTTCACGATGGCAAGAAAAGCCGTTCTGTTGCACCCAGACAAGGTCAGAAACAGCGAAACGTTAATCAGGGCTCATTGCATGTTGTGTCTTTAAAAAAAGAAAGCTTCGTTCCAGTTTTGTGGCGATAATTGAGTCGAAACCCTAGAAGATGCCCAGGAAAATATGTAACGTTTTAGCGCATCTGTTACTAGGCTATACATAACTGAAAGTAGTTCGCTGCACTTAATGGTGGGGGAGAGGTGAAAAACAACTTCAATTAGAAGTGATTTATGACATTTATGGCCCAGAGCGGGAGGCAACTGGAGGCAATATGGTAAGAAATAACGTGGAAAAAGAGGAAAATCTATTTTAAAGAGTAATAGTGCAACCTTCGACATGGCTTTTTGAGAACCACTGTTTCAAACTTGAAAATCATCCATCACCTTCCTGAAGGTCATACACACAATCCTATTAAAGTATGTTTTGAAGTCAAATCTCCATGTTAAATTTAAATATTTAATCATGCCAACTTAAAGGGGCTGTCACGCGTTGCGCATGCGAGGAAGTAGGGGTAGGTGGAAAAAAAATAATAGGGATTTTAAGCAGCAATGTTTTTGAGCAAGGGACGTCAACAGGAAGTGGACGTTCTACACACTTGAGCTGTGATTTTGAACAAACTTTTGGGCAAATCGTCTCTATAAGAGTAAAGACACTTAGCCATACAAATTTGGTGGCGTCGAGGCATATTAAAAGAGAAAAAAGCTCATTTCCGGTTGAAGTGTGTTTCTATAATAAACGTATAACACACACTGACACAACTCACCCATTACAGAAACAAAGGCAGTCCCATTAAACGGTATTTATCGGCGGTTGTGTGCCAAGCATCAACAATTTTTATTGTGTACTTGCTCTATTCCCGTAAATAAATAAACTTAGTTAAGTCTCTTACCAAAGAAACTCTTATCACATTTGCATCTAAAGTTATACATATAATGTTTTCCGACCAGCGAAAAAAAAAGACTGCCGAATAAATAGTCTTTACGTTCCTGTATACCAAAATATATATCCACGTCTGAAAGATGGTTTATGACCTTACGAAGGTCGCTACACCATCTGATCTTCAACCCCGAATCTCGCAGTGTTTTGGCAACATATACATGTGCGAAAAGATTCATATACCACATTACACAAAGAACACAATGGAGAGTTTAAGCTTCACGTATACGACAAACGTCAGAGTCAAGTTGAGAATTTCTCAAAATGAAAAATGAGCAGATAAAAACAGCTCAAAACAATTCTTTTGGATAAAAAGGCCTCGCTACATACATAAGACAATGTATTGCGTACGCAGCTGTTAATCTTAGTACATTTTGCATTGTGATCGGATTGATAAAAAAGTTGATTTTATGTTATTGTTATGGTTGACACGAACTTCTCATTGGGCTCCTGGTAATTTTTATTGTTTTGTGGAAGAACAACAGTTCATGACTGGGAAAATTAAGCCGTTTCCGAATTTCAGTTTTGGGAGTAATTATCAGGTAGGGTTTAGTTCTGCACATTTTCCGGAAAATAAGCTAGAGAGGGTAGCAAACTGGGGTTCAAGGACATGCCTAGCTTCGCCGGCGAAGCAGCAAAAAGAACTTGGCCAATATTTAACTGAAATTTTAACTGATAGCTAAGAAATCGCCGAAAATATAACTCTTTACTAAAATCGAGCACCCCCCGCCCCTGCCCAGACAGAACATACAGGCCCTCCGGTAACCTATCTTTTTCTGGAACCGAGGCTTCTCACGGACGGTTTTCTCGGAATTACTTCCGTTTCGCCGAATGCAAACAAGTTGTTTCTTGTTTTATCCGGTGAGTGTATTAAGCAACTTCGACATGACTAAATATGACAGCCAAGGAGTTCCAATTTTGGGATTTCATAATCCTGCGGGGACAATTCTTTACCCCAACGGCCTTTACTCCTATTCTATCGGCAACACAAGAGCGAGAGATATCACAGAGTTGTTAGGAACTTCGAAGAAACAACATTTAGACTTGCTGCTTTTGGCTTCCGGTGATGTTAGAAACGTTTTTTATACTGTGTCTGAAATTTCGCTAAGGAAAGCTAAGGAATGTCCTAAAAGTTTAAGCTTTCACTTAAATGACTATGATCCATCGGTAGTCGCTCGAAATGCGATCTTGCTCGAAGTTGCCAGTTCGATAAATACCGATGTCTCAGATGATGTTGATTTCTTGTGGAACACCTGGTACAACATGACGCTTTCTGAAGCACATTTTGCCAGGCTGCAACGGATTCTTTCAGAACTGATCGACAAAGGTTTTGATAGCGACGAATTGACTGTCTTAAAGTTTCAAGATAGTGCTGTCCTTAAAGAGTGTCGTGATATTTGGAATGACTGGGTGAAGCTTGACCTTAACGTAAACAGTGTCAAAGAAGAAAGGAGCAAGTTTATAGAGAACGATAGGCAAAGAAGAGGCTTCACAATGGAAAATCAATGCCTTGGTGTTGTAACGAAAATGGAAATAGGAATTACAGCGCATGAAGACGGAGACGAAGATGTCTCATCGCCAGAAAGGATGTTTTCAATTCAGTTTAACCCGGAAATAAAGCATTGGTTCATTGAGGGGTCCACGAGCGATGACTCGAATAAAGTGAACCCAACCTTGATTCGCCCATTTGTTCACAAGTGGAAGCAGCATTATGGAGCGTGTGCCTTTGATGGTTACCTGCCATTTGACAAGTGAGTACCAAATCCTCGATTTCTCCCGTTTTCTCGTGCCTGGCCATGGTCTTCTGCAATAAAACGAGTGAAACACGCGAGAGCGCGAGACACGTGGGTAACGTGCGTCGCGTCAAGTGGGGGAGGGGCGATTTTCTGTACACTTGCGCGTTCCACTCGCTCAGGTATCTCTACATTCGTTTTCAAAGTTTGTATTTAGGCCGGGAAAGAAAAAAGTAAGTTATACCACAAAACCGTTTGTTCTAATTACAAAGCCTAGTTTGGGCGCGATCCATTCAACCAAAACTCCAACCGGTCCGACGGGGAAAAGTGGTCCACCTCAAAAGGTGGACCCGTTTTTCCGAAACTTTTCCGGTTGGACCGAACCGATTTTTGGCTTAATGGATTGCGCCCAAACACCAATCCAGTATTCCCACGGACGGGTCGGACGTTGCTGAAATAGAGAGGAGAAGTGTGACGTCACGTTACCACGGTAGCACTTTTTCTGAATGACAACAAAACCAACGACGACGGCGAAGGCAAGGAGAACGGCAAAAAAATAAAATGTTTATATTTACAAACAACAAATCTGCACGTGAATCACGCTATTTTGTACATTTGTTTGCCTTCGTTGCACCACTACGACATGAAACTTCCTTATGGAGCGGGCGAACACAGTGCAAAAATTGTCGCTTTCTTTTTCTAAATTTAGATAACAATAGGTACGATCCCAAAGAAAATTTCGCCAAGATTTGGCAAATTAAATAAAATTTAATTTGGTCGGTGAAGTTTGAGATAGTGCGAATAGACTTTAAAGTGATTTTATCGGTTTGTTATCATCCAAAAATTTTGCTACCATGGCAACGTGACGTAAGGACTTCTCCTCTCGTAGCCTTGCTAAAAAAATCTTCTCTCTCGTTCCGCGCAAAACGTCCCCGTTTTCGCACGCTACTGCTGGAAGGTTTCAGTTGGCATTTGATCGAGGTGTGTATTCTGACAAACACAAGAAATCAGAAGAGTGTCTGCTTTTTCCTGATCCACCATACATTTAACTTTTACTGTGTGAGAATTTCTGTAAATGATATCCGAAAACGTTTGGGTACCCTGAACGGAGTAGTCGCCTGTACATTATCACTGATCTGCATCAGGAGTTCCTTACTGCATTACTGAATGATGTAAAATGCAGTGAATGTTTTTTTTGCTTGCGTTTCTAGTTTAAAGTTGATCGTTCTTTTGCAGACAAGACCTTCTTCGATGCAAAACGTTAACAGATGCCTGTAAAGAAAGCTTAAAATTTCAAGTAAAATGCTACCAAAACTATAAAAAGAGTCACTCATTGAAGGTAAGATTGTCTATCCGAAATACTGGGCAATAAAATTACCATCATGAGTGATTTAGCTGTCTGAACAGCCTTTCATAATAATAAAATCTTCAGGCCACCATAACAAGAAATTTGTTGCTAGAAAATATACAAACATGTATCTTAAGTAAAGTTTTACTGTCAAACTCACTAAAACAATTAGGCGCCGTTCACACGTATACGGATATTTTTTAATCCACAACTTTTTCTTTCCGAATTCAAAAATTTCCACGTCCACACCGGATTCAAATCGAATTCACCCATCCACACTTATCTGACAAGTATCCTGATTCACTCTAGTAACGAATTCATGAGAATAAAGTTAAATCCGGATTTTTAGGATTTATGAGCCGTGCGTTTTTAAAGCGGGCATGGATCCGAGAAAATTTCGTCAAAAATATAAGATCCGCAGATTCGTTCCCGTTTTAGCAACGGCGATGACAGCAAAAAAAAAAAAAAAAAACAGAAGACGAATTCGCGATTTTTCAAGTAGCGATTGCTCCGGCTTGCTTAAGAAATCAAACTTAGTCTAATTTTTCTGAAGATGAGTTCTTCTGGCCGCACCAAAGTTATAGAAAGGGCTGAGAGAAAATTTCGTCATCTCTACGTCATCAGTGTGTTTGCGTCCTTCATTAACACAGGCTTTCTTTTTTAATACTGCGGAAGTTGCGTAGTAACTGCGATTATCTTCTTTGCGTTTTCTTCTTTATTCTGCAGTTCCAATATATAAAATTCATATATCCATATTTCATTAGCAAGTGTGCTTTTCAAAGGTCAATGAAAACAGACGTTTTCTGCGTGACTCGAGACCTGTTAGACTTGCTACAAGTCGACCTCTTGGCGAGCGGAGCGAGCCTTTTTAGGCGGCGAAGCGGCCCACCGAGCGACGAAGTCGCGAGAGGTTGTCCATCATCCCGCGCCATATTATTAAGCAATGTTGGGTATGCAAAGGCAAATTCCTTCGTATTCGTAACGGTTTTGTGCAACAACGGCAAAGAAAAATGTGATACACGAGCAAAGTTGTTTCGCGTATTAAATCTTTTCTTTTTTGACTTCTCGTTGCTGTCGCCTTCGTCGTTGCTTAAACTCTGCAAAAGAAATCGTGCGAGCCTGATTTGTTGCGTTTTTTGGTTCTGTTCCGTCTTTGTTTAAAGGTTAGCTTTTGGACTGGCGATGCTCTTTCTCTGTGTGCAAATGGTTTCCCTCCAGACCTTGCATTTGATGTTATTGACACCAGTAATGTTGGTGACCATATTGGCCTGCTCAATGTCCTTGTTTGTTGTGCACCAAGGCTGAAAGAGTAAGTTCAATGCTCCATTATTTAGCTAACTGTTTCCATTTTCTGCTTGTTGGCCTCTACCGTTCATTTCTTATCGTCCCATTAATTTTTTTCATTTGATCGGTGGGTCAACCTTGCCATTCGATGCTTCTGTAACAAGGTTTTGTCCAGGTAGGAGAGTTTTAGGGGAGGGGTAGGTGGGCAGTTTCCCGGAAACGTATAATGATCAAGTAAACCTATTTAAATTCTGGAAAGGAGGAAATCCAAATTAGTCTGTACTCTACCCTTTGACCTGTCCAGCATGGTTGATTCTACCAGGAGCTAGTGCCCCTGCTGGCATACAGGTTGCTGTGTAGCACGCACGCCACCACACAAGATCACACAACGACAAGGAATTGATAATGCGGACCATAACATGCAGACCATGGAAAAATAGCGCGGATAAATATATCGTAATCGGGTAATGTATGATCACACAACTGGTTTTAGTAGTGAGAAATGTTTTGCTATGTTCAATTTCCAGACCAAACACATCACTTTTGTACACCTCGAGCATTTTATGGGAAAAAAGCTGTCAAAGTATTGAGGACTTTTACAACAAATCAATTGGTGTTCCAGTGCAACTTCTTCCTACTATTCTTGGTTTGAAGCTGGCTGTTAATCTAGATCTTGGTAGCAGGTACCAACGTTTGTTTGTAGATCGTTTTCGGCAGTGCCATAAGATGTTTTCATAGTCAATGCCAACTGGAGTATTTTACAATTTTCATGGGTTTATGTTTTCCTCCTATTGCACCCCAGGGAATATTTAAGGTGCAGGGCTCCGTCATTATAAGGGCGCAGCGAACTATGACTACGAACCTTTTGTCATAAATGTTTTCGGTTTTAACGCGATGGCTACAAAAGTTTGAGAAGCACTTCAGCCATCACCAGCTATCATATCATCATGCAGCCATCGTGAAAGTCCAGCTGTTTTGTTTTTGAAGATAAACTGATAGACCTCTTCGCTTATGTCAAATATGTAGTTATGTTTGGGTTCTTTCGATTGGGAAATCCTATAGTTTTGGAAATCGAGGGATTTTTCCGCAGGCAAGAAATTCGTCACATGCATGATGCATTTTATGAATTTATTTCAAAAACTAAGGTGAAAAAGGTCCATTTATAGATTTTATTGGCAGAGGCTATGCGCGAAGTTCCTTTTTAAGAATCTCATCCAAACATCTATTTCTCAATGGGAAGAACCCTTAAATCTGATTAGCTTTTGCTCTTTCTGTAGTAAACTGCCGGGCAGCTTGGAGTCCAACGAGGAGATTCTCTTGTGGGTAAAAGCGGAGCCTAAGAGGACCTTGCTGACAATAGGTTAAGTTACATCACCAAAGAGAAATGCTAGTTGTTGGCCTAGTGTTTAAATAAATCCCTAGATCAGGAAAACACCAAAGCCTACGTATACACCTCTATTGCGACTGAGCTCAAGTTCTTTACAAGTTTTTTTTCTCTTTTTTCACGGGATAGAAGGCTGTAAAATCCCGGATATCTTTTCCGAAAAGCCTCGATTTTGCCATAGGACTTCAAAGAAAAAATAAGAAAGTTATCAGCTGTTCTTGCAACCAACAACCGGTTGACCAGCCACTAGTAGTTGACCAGCAGCAACAGTGGCCGGCCGTCTTGAAGATCCGCTCATCGAAGTTAAGGAAGGTGTTCAAAGGAGAGTAGCGCTAGCATTAACTCGAAAGTTATCGTCGATGCATTGATAAAAAACTTTCAAGTTTAAAAAGGCTTTAAAAACGCTTTCCGTGGAACGCAAATTGTCAACATTCTTGTACGAAGTTTTAGTGCAACAATCACTAAAAGAATCGTTGTATATATCGTGAATATGAAATTGTTTGCCAAGAGGGCTTACGATGTCGAAATTAAATAGAAATTACACAGTAATTTTTCTTTACGCTTACAATCACAGATGAAAATGGTGATGTTGCTCAGGCCTTCCTTCGCCTTGCTGAACGGTGCTTCAACTTATTTAATGAACCTGATAGTAAAGATGGAATAACGTTGTCTTCGCCGCTGACTTTCCTCAGAATTGTCCGTCAGATACAACCTCTGGTCAGGGGCGGAGGTAAGACAGACAGTGGTGTTGCGCTACTCCAGCTTTCCATGCAGACGTTCTCAAGGAACGAGCGTCAAATCCCTAAGAACGTTAGCCTGTGAAAGCAGACGCCTTTCTCGGCTCTTGTTTTACCCGCCGAGAAAGTGAAGTCTTCTTAATCTTCCTCCATGCATTTTATTTCCCACGTATAGCGAGACTCGCACGCAAACCCCACGCGTGTTACCTCCACAAAATAGATAAGAGCCGAATTAAGTTTCTAAGAGAAGGACGTACCGACAACAGTACTGACAATTCACTGTTACCCGTCAATATATATTCAGTGACGTTTACCTCATTTCATGTTGGAAATTCCATAAAAGTACTTTCTTTTTATTTGTGCTCTATCTCTCTCGGCTGATATCAAATCACAAAATGGACGCCCAATGAACAAGAAATAAATGTTAATTGTTTCTTTTGCAAACGTTGTGTGTATTTGTTCCTTAGCCACAGCCCTTCTCAATCTTCTTGAAAGTAAGCTACCCTCCGACTTCAACAAAAAGTTTGGTCTCTCGTGGAATTTGGTAAAAGCCTCAGTAGGAAGTGAACGAGGTAGGAGAAAATTTCGCTTTGTTTTCGAAAGGGATACACCACCACATTTTTTTTTCAGTGACATTACCATTGAAAATACCAGAGCGTAATTTATCGGTATATTCTCTTTTCCCCTCAGAGCCTATCGTTGAAATAAAAGTATCGACCCCAATATCCGTCGTCGTTCCTCGGTTTAAAGGATCGCTTAATCTGATGGCTTGCATTGCTAACCACAAACCGTTTGAAGAGGGAGAGTTTCCTACAAATGCCTTGGTAAATATATTTCTATTTATTTAACAACATACCCTCATGGGGACTTTTTTTGATCGGGAAGTCATTAGCTCGAGTTTTAGTGTAGTGATTTCACGGCAGCTGTTGCAAAAATTGATGCTCGAATAGTCAGCGGAAGAGAGAACGCAAAATAATTGGTATCTGTGTTTTTTTTGTACAGTATTTTTCGCCATCACCCGCCTAGTACTTTTGTAATAAAGTGTTGTGGTTAAATTTAAACCTTCTCTTCGTTATCATAGGATTTTTTATTTGGTGCACATTTACTTTCGGAAGATACCGACTATTCACTAATTTACAACAGCGTACGATATGACGACACCGCTCAAATGGTGACGTTCCATCTGCGAGAAAAGGACTGGAACGACCTAAAGTCGAATTCCTGCATGTGGATTGCCTCCAATGACCATGTTCCAATTCCAATAATTAAACAAGAGAAAGTTTTTCTGGGGAGTGAAAGTGTTAAGGCCGTTGAACAGGTTGACCCTGAAGAGAAATTTGGTTTGTTCGCTGTGCAGACGTTTGAGGTTGAATCGTTCAGCGATTGTGAAATTCTAAAGGTACGTTCTGGCTATCAATACTGGTGTTAAAATTGCTGTCTACCGATAACTGCACTATGTAAACGCACAAGAATTAAATGTACTCTAGTAAACAACTAAACAGAACCTGCCACCACTTAAATTAAGCCCAAAATATGTCTAATTACTTGACCCAGGAGAGAAAACTGATTTTGAGACAAATTACAGCTAGTTAAAATTCTATTAGGTTACTCAATATGGACTCAAGAAGCAGGCTCAGAAAAACGCTGATATATAAGTGCTATCATTACAGTTATGGGATATTTTGTCATTAGAACAGTTGTTTGCCATTATATAGTTCTAATATTGAGGTACCGAAAACTGACCTACTTTAGCTGAAAATTGTTGCAAGTTAGTGAGACTACCCAAGCTGTTGACGAACATGTACCACTGGCCTTCGTTTTTTATTTTTTTTAAAGAAGGATTTCAAACAAAATTAATCTGTCTGTTCTATATAGGTTTTGAAGGTCCAGGAAAACACTTCTTCATACAGCGCAGAGCTTGAAATTTTGGATGCGATCAAATGTAAAGGAAAGGAGATGAAGACTAGATTTCTTCCAGACATTTGTCCGAATAAAGTTGCAGTATACTTCCAAGGAGCCGAAAGGTGGGATACCTACCTCCTTCCGATAATAGAAGGTTCTTGTGAACTTGAAAATACCCTGCGTAGGTGGCGGCATTGTTGTAACCGGGATACTCTTTTTCTTGACTTTCTCCCAACCCTCTCGAGGCTACGCCGCCAAAGAAGAACCTACAACATCCCGCCAGCAACGCAACTTGGCTAGAATTAGAATCCTCAGAATCAGGCAGGTAATTTTTCGTCTAATTCCGGCGGGCAATCACGGATTGTTGTCGAGAAAAATGCCACTTGTTAGTAGTCATTAAGAGAAAAGAGCAATTCATGGTTCATAATGCATTTAGTTTATAATACATTTCAATGTATTATAGTGAATTAATTAACGTGATGTGCGTAACTATTTTATAAATAAAATTCTTGGCTCAGAGTTGTAATGGTCAATAGCAAGACGTCATTACTACTTATGCGTGTGTGGCTCTCTCTTAAGTTCTTTTAGTTAATTATTTAAAAAGATCTAAACGGGTGAGCTGAGCAATTATTTGAAAATGTCAAACTATGTTAATGGTCTTTCATAGGGAAGAATGCATCATCCACTTTTCTTGTGTTGTCGAAGAGAATTCTTCAAAGTTCCGAATTTCGCGTAAGCAAGGAACAATCCAATGCCACATTCCGAAGAGAGAGGAAGGAACCGTGGGTGAACTGGTGATACAATGTCCAGCTTCAATTCCATTTCACGTCATGCCATTATGGGATCTAAAACGGAGACACTTACTTGTACAGTAAGTACAGCTGTTGCCTTACTTTACGTTATCCGAAAGAATTAATAATTTTGGACTCCATGTTTATGGATTCCGGATTCCACGGGCGTCTGCATCCCAGATTTTATTTTCTAGCTTTAAGCATTTCATCGCATTATTTATGTAACAAATTTTCGTTTAAGGAAGCTTTTTCACCAACAGTGACGTTTTAGGGTGCCTGAAAAATTTCATTTTGTATAACGTAAGTAAAAAAAAATGTTAGAACTTTCTGCGGGGTGCGGGGTGCCAACGATTTCCATCGATGTTTTTTTACACCATTTCCACCAAAATTCTGTCTCTTCATTAATTAACTGCTTCTCACTTGGACACAGCTTATTTACTTGATTTAGTAAAAATTTATTTCTACGCTTAAAGGTTAGGCCAAGTCACTGGTAATAGTAAAGTGTCTACTGATGAAAACTTCTTATTCCCCTGTACTTTGATAAAGCAGAATTTTTGGAAAATCCAACTGAGATGGCGGCCAACGTGGATGACGTAAAAGGACTAAAAGATGCCCAGCCTCGTCAAATCCCGTATTATTGACAACACAGCAGAGGCCCAAAGGGCAGTAAAAAAGGGCATGCAAAAATCCCTCGGTACCATCGCCGCGGTATACCGGGGGTTAGATTTGTTGATTTTGTGTAACATGGGACACCTATTTATATTTCAAGTAATTACTTTTCAATTAATCTATGCCCCCTCAGTTTCCAACAAAACGTTGTGTGAATGTCAACTCTCCATACCAAGTCATCAGACACTATACATGAAAGATACCTCCAGCCTTCTCTTCTCTTTTTGATTTATTTGACTTTCGATCTTCATTGTAGATTATGTGGTACAATGTTTCGGACCAAGCAAGATTTCGAACTAAAGTCTCGAAGATCAAGTGGTCCACCATTTTTTGACCTGAGAGAGAGCATTTCAAGAATTCTACATGGGCACATACAAGACCCAAAGGTTCGACAAGAAGAACTGTTGTGTATTTTTGTTGAAGTTAAAATACATGGCTGACTGGCTACCCGAGCGGGCAGGATTAGCCATCCAAGCAATAAAAGAATGAAAACCTTTCTTGTTCGTCCACGATAGCTGGATATTGGCCTCATTTTTTCTTCATCATCACTAAGTATCCGAGATAAATTCTTGTATACTTAAACTCGGTATCAAAGCATTGATGCTGCTGTTATTCGCCACTACTTTTAAAACACTTACTTTTCATAGATTTTTTCTTTGCTTTTTCTTGACTTTATAACAATATTTTGCACATTTTTACACATAAGTCAGGTCAAGGATGGGATCTTTTGAAATCCACAGAATCGTTCTTCACATAAGATCAAGCTTTGACTTTAAAAAGCGGACACGTACCTTAATAACCGATCAAAGTGCATCAAATTTACTGCCTTTTATCACCAAATAATAGCGTTTTTTTTCTTTTTTTTAGCATCCTACGGTATATTGCCTTGATGAACGTGGGATCATCGAAGACCCATATCAGACACCAAACGACTTTGCAAGGAAAAGAGGATTTATGATCAAAGTTCTGGGGTTGTACAAATGGAAGAACGTGCCTGTTGCTAAAGTACTCTTCTATGATTGCGAAAAGTATGCCTCCGAGATTCTTGATGCAAAGACATTCCCGCGAGTATGGCGATCCTGGCCTCTAACCTATCCACACAAGGTGGAACGCATTGTTACTGATCAGCAGGTTGGTAGGTTGTTATATATCATTGAGGGCACAATTGGGAATGGGATGCCGTATGATACCAGGGCTGTCAACTCTCCCGGATAATCCGGGAGACTCCAGATTTTAAACCGTTTCTCCCGGTCTCCAGATTAGAGTCTGAAATCTCCCGGATAATCGCCGAATTTTGCCATTTCTTGTAGATTCGACTTTCTGACAATGAAATTTCAAATATTTTGCGTTGTTTGAGCTATTTTTCTGTTAACATTGAACGTTTCCTCACAAACTCCGGTATGCCATTGTAATATAAGCAATGATGTGATTGGTGGGAAGTAAACCAATTAGGTCAAATGTTACAATTAAAACAACATCTTTTTCGCGCGTTTTTCTTTCCAAAAAATGACGTCATGTGCCCTGCATTATGACGTCATCTATTACCCACTTCCCATCAATTCTCAAAATTTGAAGACGTCGGGGGTTGACAGCCCTGTGATACGCCTCAAGGTTCTTGGACATTATATCGCCTAACACTGGCAATAAGTACGGCGGGGTTGGAAGATATGATGTAGCAAGTTTGTGCTTTCGTGTTAAATGGCGTTCGCGTGTCGCACGTGTCATAGAAGACTCCATATTGGAAAGTTGTCAACCTTGCCACCAGAACTTTTCTCTCACGCTTCTGAAGGAAAAGCCCTGGGGCAAGTTTGGAAGATACTGACAAGTTACTTATTTCCAACAAATCGTGTCTAACTGTAGTCTCCCTCGCAGCCGTTTTTTGGATGTCATACAACGCTCCCCACTAAGAGAAAGGGCCCGGAATTGCTCGATCTGGCGTATGCGAATACGTTTTTCCTTGGTGTAAACGCTTAGGGCTATGGGAAGGGTTTCGTTCTCCCAAAGGTGCCTTGCGCCGTTCGAAAATTCGTTTCCGAGCTTGCTTCTCTCTCCACCTTAGTACGAGACAGAGCTGACAGTGATGACTTACTCCCACGCGTTTAACAGTGAATATCTTCGTTTTGGTTTGTAATTGGATCCCATCATTTAAGCTCAGTCTGTTATGATGGGTCAGAATTCTCTGATCGACTTTGCCCTTACGAATGGCAGATAAACAAGGTTTTGATACATTTTAACATTTATTCAACAGGAGAAGAGCTTGCTTCGTAAACTTCTGTACACAAATGCTGCAAGAGTTACTCAAGATAACGATTTTTATGCGTGGAAGGATTCATTTCTCTGCCTTTTATTTCCCAGAGAACGTTTCCCATTGTCGGGTTAGTATATTCACTATCACTACTCAGTAACCTCGTTCCCAGGGTTCTTTCTCTTGCTTATCGGGATAGAGGTTATATCACTACAGAAGCATATGCTTCTAATGACTACCTTCTCTTTTCCATTGTGCCTGTGACGTGATCGACGTTCTCTATATAACGTCTTTCATACATCAGTGCGATTTCACCTCCAAAAGAGGGAATAAACGAAACGACTTTAACTGAGAGTCTTTAAGACATTTTACTACAGCTAACTATCATACGAGGCATTTCTTTTATTATTAGGGACAAAGATAAGACAAGATATTTTGCTTCCTTAACCAGGATTTATTCTGTTCTCTCTTGCTCAGGCTTCGTGAAAGATGCTACAAACCTGCTATTTCATAATGTACTTTTAAGAATGTTTCACAATTACAGCGTTATTTACTTCGTGCTGTTCATCTCGGAATATTTAAACTTGTGTTATTCAAAGAAAACTATTTTTGTGTTCTGTCAAATCTAACGAAACTTATTCTAATGCTGATTCTATTTCTAATGTCACAGAAAAGGAGGACAAGGAAAGGAATAATGTTTTGTCTCCAAATGCAAGATCAACTACACCAGAGTCTCTTCAAGATAATCCTTTTGAGCTCCCAACAAACTCGTTGCACAGTGGAAAAATGGGCCCCTGGTCTACCGGGAATGATCGTGCCTCCGACTGTAACCCTCCCCAGGGGACAGCTTCAGTCAAAGTGCCAAAATGTGCCTTTTGTCAAATACATAAAAGCGATTTAAAGAGATGTTTGGGCTGTGAGAAAGTATCGTATTGCGGCAGGATATGTCAGAAACAGCACTGGAAAGTTCACAAGCCGGAATGTCGACAAGCAGGCAATAAGGATACCAGATTCGACAATCGCCCTTAAAGGAAGAAAACAGCAACCTAGTACAGTCCCAAAGTCCCTAGGCGTTCTCGACGCAGTCAATCCTGGACTCTACCCAGACTGCGCGCGGACAACTAGACAAGAGAGAACGCCAAGGGACTAGGCTGAGGAAACAGTATTTTATTAATCGATACAGACGTATGTAATTATCAACAAAAAAAATCAATTGACGATTACCTATTAGGCGACCCAACCTCTCTGGCGGAAATCAAATTCACTCGAACAATCAAACTTGCAAAACGTTCTCATTTTGTGATGAAAATGATCAGTGTCAATTCCTCCAAATTACGTGCTTTTTAAACAATTTTCGTGCATAGGTAAAAATAAGTTTGAAAAATGTAGCATACAACATCTAGCATACCTTGCGAGCAGATATTTCTCTTTTGCATTCCGCTTTTAGCGTCTACGAAGTCGTTCGCGTCGCTTGTCTGCCGCGTAGTTGGTTTGTTTTATTCGTCCAGGGAGAAAACAAACCAACTACGCGACTAACAAGCGAAGCGAACGACTTCGTAAACGCTAAGGCCATGCAAGAGAGAAACCTCTGCTCGCAGGATACCTCTAACGCCTGAATGGGTAAAATATTCACTAGTTTCACTTAAAATTGAGGGTGTATTCTTAATTCGAGATATGAGATGATAGGATTAGCTATGACGGAAGTTACTTTTCTAACTTGCAATGGGTTAGTATTTCCTTCCATGAATTGAATCCTTGATATTTTAAAAGTGACATTTGCTTGATCCAGTTTGAAAACAAGACCCAAGCTGAACACCTCAGCCAATCACAACAGTCTTAAACAATATCCAAGGACTGAAGTAGTCACCACACGAAGCAAGTAGATTTAGATGTTGGTCCTCAGGGCTGAGTTGCTCAAAGCACGGTTAGCTTTAACCATTGGTTAAGCAGTATCAAAACCAATACGTTGTCAAGGTATTAAACGCTGGTTAACGCTAACCATGCTTCGAGCAACTGGACCCAGTGATGATGTTAGGGGTTTCTTCGACGGGGACAGCTCCTCTAGCGAGAGTACTCCAGGACTCTGACAAAGCTTTGATACTTTCTTCCTTTAATTACTGGCGGCAACACAAACGTCTACAGCTCAGCTTCTTACAACAGCTAATCACACTCTACTAACCATCCAACTATACAACTTATATAAGCATAACGCAGGTACGTTTAGGCTTGCTGATCATGAGAGTTACGAAAGCTATTCCGAATGACTTCTAACGAATTTCCCGTTGATAACAAAAGTGGAATAAACAATCCTACAAGAAAACCAATGAAAGCTCGACAGCTAAATCCACGAGGCTAAACCTTAAACCAAAACAGGAACTCTGATGTAGGTACTAATCAAGGTCAGCAATGGTCCCAAAACGTACCCACTTAAAAACTGACAATCAAACTTAATTAAACCCCAAGCTTGATGACACTTCTGTCGACAAACCCATTAAAAAGGTAATAACACTCAAAAACCTGTTAACGCATATATTGGTTAACCTTGATTCTCAAACCCAAACATAACGAAACTTAAATCACGAGAAGAACAAAGAACAAACAGAACT